AGGAGTCCAGGTGGAAGATGGAGACCCCCAGTTTATGGGTAGTGATGTCAGCTCCTTTCCAGGACTGTCCCTGGGCCAGGGTTCCCAAGGGTGGTCCGATTTGAAGCCGTGTAAGGGCACTGAACCCAGGGCTGTGGGCTGTCTCTAGCATCAGAAGCATCACGAGTTTGGCCAGGTCATACAGGTGCTCCTGGTCTGGGGTGAAGAGGATGATTGGAGATCAGAGAGCTGGTCCTAAGAATGGTCCCCACAAGTGGGTCATGGGGGGATAGGAGACCCTGGAAAAGCTTGGACCTAAATTTCCTCTAAGAGCCCTTCTCAGCTGGGCGCAGTGGCTCACGCCTGTAATTCCAACACTTTGGGAGGCTGACACAAGTGGATCACTTGAGGTCAGGAGTTCGAGACCAGTCTGGTCAACATGGTGAAACTCCATCTCTACTAAAAATACAAAAATTAGCAAGGCGTGGTGGCATGCCCCTGTAATCCCAGCTACTCAGAAGGCTGAGGCAGGAGAATTGCTTGAACCCGGGAGGCGGAGGTTGCAGTGAACTGAGATCGTGCCATTGCACTCCAGCCTAGGCAACAGAGGGAGAGTCTATCTCAAAAAAAAAAAAATAGCCCTTCCCAGAGCCCTCCTCTCAGACCCCAGCTGGCTGCTGTGCAGCCGCCCTGCCACTGTGAGGCACTGTGGGGCGCCATGAGCATCCTGCATCTGGGGACACTGTCATAGGTCCCATGGTCAGGTGGCAGGAATGGCAAGGAGGGGCCTCAGTGGGGAACAGAGTGCACCTGAGTGGCTTCACAGCAGGGTGAGAAGAAAGCAGGTGTCTCACTCTGGATCCTTTGTACCTTTTGAATTTGATACCATAAGCCTGTATTCACTCCTCAAAATAATTACAAATTAAATTAATTACAAATAAAGCATAGAAAAGAGTAGAGTCTAGATGACTCAATCTTCCTCAGTCTCCTTCCCCCACCAGCTCAACTCCTCTTGTGGGTCCTTGCTTAGATGGAAGGTTTCGTTTTCTCCTGAAGCTTCCAGACCCTTCTTCTCCCACTTAGCACGGCAGCGGCCATTGGCTGGCCGGCTGTCCTCTCCTCTCGATTGGCCAAGTCCTGTTCCCTTTGCATTTCCAGCACCCGGCGCAGGGCCCGGCCACATGGTAGATGCTCAGCAAGCGTTGGCGAGTGAGTTGAAGTGGGACATGTGAAAGCGAATCTCTGAGCTGCATTCACCCCTTGAGAAGCCACTGTGTCCGGGGCCCTGGGACAGTCATCTTTGATACACATGTCTACAGAGACAAACCCTATTCTCAGACGCTTCTGGTCTAGTTGCGGTCAGCCACCCAGGAGTTCAACCTGAGTGCAGGAGGGCCGCAGATCTAAGGAGGGGCTGGAGCCAAGAGGGGTTGTCTAGGAAGGCATCTGTCTGGTCCCCTGTAGATGCTGCACTGAGATGGGTCTTGGGTACTAAAAGGCAACAGGCCAAGATCTTGAGAAAGTGAAGGACAGAGACCAAGTGAGGGTGCAACGTACACCGGGAAGTGGCCTATGATCTAGCACAGGGCTCACAGATGCAATTCATGGGCAATAAATCTACAAAGGTGCTTTGGGGCCAGGTTGGGAGGGAGGCATCTGGGTTGAGCTTTCACTTTGCTGGGGAAGGTCATTGAGAGCCACTAACAATGTCTGAGCTCCCAGGGGAGACTTGAGCAAACATAGTGCCTTAGAAGAATGAATGTGAGTGGAAGAAATTGATATCCAGGAGAAAAGAAAGGAGGCCATTGCAGCCCTGCTGTTAGGGAAATGTGATGAGGCAAAGGGGACAGAAGGGCTGACTGTGTCCATGTCACATCTCAGGGCTCCCTGAGATTGGACACAGGCCACCCAGGAGGAAACAGGAAGGGCTGGGTCCAGAGGGTGACATCGCACATGGCATTGCACACCGCCTCCCTGCCGGCGCACATCTGGAATGGGAGGTGGATGCCTGGGCTGTCGCTCGCGCCCCTCCCCCTGTTCCTTCTCCCCCAGGCTGCCCTGATGCCCGTTGCCCCTCCAGTGACCAGTCTCTAATGTGTGGGAGCCTCTCCTGGGGCACCACTCAGCAGGGGCGACGTGGAGAACATCACACATCTGGAGAGCAAGGCAGAAGGCAAGGTGGAAAGGGAAGATGCTATTCTTAGAGCACATCCAGGTCTTCCCCTTCTGGCTCCCTGCAGGATGAGGAATTGCGGTAGACCACCCCAGCTAGGAACGCCAGGATGGGTGGGGAGGGTAGAGAGAGGGATGATGAAAGCTCAACTTCAGTCTCTGCCTACCACAAGGGCTTTGCACTCTTAAAGAACTAAGTCACAGGACCCGGGGCACTGAGAAGGCAGCCGGTCCTTTCCACACCTTTGGGTGGGATGGCTCCAGCACAGCCCACCCAGACAGGCATCTGTCACATCCTGGCATTTAGGAACAGGAGTGCCATGAAAACTGCAGTGTGCTATCATTGGAGGCAGGCAGAGACCCTGGGCATGGCACAGCTTCCCCATCTGTGAAGTGGGGGCGGTGATGCCTACTTCATGGGATTGTTTAGAGGATTAGAGAGAACGCATCTATGATAGCACGGGGCTAGACCAAACTTTTAATAAATGTAAGTTCCTCTGTCTCTTCTAACTCAAATACCTCGTGCAGCAATTTATAGTCCTGTGGGACTTGCAGTCTAAAATATATGTGTCTGTCAGTCAGCCACATGTACTGAGTGCCAATATTTTTTTGCAGAATCATGCACCAGCCATGTGGTAGAGAAAGAAAAAGAAATAGGAGACAGAATGTTGCCCTTGGAGCTTACAATGCAGTTGGAGTGAGAATATACACATACACACATACACACACACACACACACACACACACACACACTTTCAGAACCATTACAAAGCACTATCCAATCAAGTGTAATATGCCACAAACTGTATTAGGTGAGAACTGGAAAAGGTATCCAAGGGAACAGAGGATGACTCAAAGAAAGCAGGGGGTGTGCACACGCGTGTGTGTGTGTGTGTGTGTGTGTCTAAGGACAGCTTCCTGCACCTGTGGACTAGTGGAACAAGAACCATTGACAAAGCTGAAGACTTGGGCAGACCAAGTGTCAGAGCTGCATGATCTTTAGTGAGCACTTGACATCTTGGGGCATCTCCTTATGTATAAAATGGAGACAGTAACATTTCATTCTCAGCGTGGCCGTGAGGATTTGGGGAGGGTGATGACGTACATGGAGGTGCCTAGCACCCAGCCTGGCACATGGTAACCTCCCACAGGTCCCTGTCCTGTGTCTCTGCTTCCCCTCTCCCCTTCCCCCTGCCCCAGGCCACACCCATCCTGGGTCCTGACCATCGGCTCCCGACCTTCTTTGCCCCAACTGTGCCTTTGCCAGGATTCCTGCCATATTGCTCATCATGCTAATTTTCCAAGAGAAATTACCGAGTCTGCCCTTTCTAAGCCATCCCACTCATGCTGACTTCTCCTGGCCCCAGGCAGCAGAGTAATAATACATGAATGCCAAATGATAAATAGCACCATCCACACAAATCTATCAGATGGCGCTGTGCAGACTTAAAAATGCAGACACCACATTTCACCCCTGTTCACCAAGCACAGAGCAAGGATGGGTTCTTTGAGGACGGCCCTCCCCTACACCAGCCTCACAGCACAAGCTGGTGTAGGGGCTGTGCCGGCCACCATGGGATGAGCTGGCCTGGTGTGGCATGGTGTTCTGTGGGAGCTGGAGTGTGGCTGTCAGAGGGACTGGTGTTGGGATGTCGTGAGCTGTCGTTGTGACGCAGGAAGCCTCTTCTCCATGCTGTGAAGAGATTGTCATGGGGGTCTCAAAGGCGTGATCCAAGAAGAAAATTAGAGATGCAGAATGGATGTGCTTCCTGAGCCCAGGCAGCTAAACGCTCCAGATGTGGCTTTTCTCCAAGCTGCGTCCCCTCTACAGTGAATGTATCTCCTGAAAAACCAAAGATTCCCAGTCCCCTCTCAGCAAGCAGCCCACAGAGCAGAAGGCACTGACATCTCCCCAGCCGCTTCCTTATTTTAAGAAGAATATTTTGCATCATAAACCCTTTGATGAAGAAAGGGAGAGAGAGCCCTTAATGAAATATGTTAATCTGGGTAAGCCAGGCTCATATGAAAGGGAATATTAAAAGAGACAACATTCACCAAAGCCAGCTCAGTACTCCAAGAACTGAAAAGGAAAAGGAAGAAAATAGGGCCCCTGGTCTGAGCTATTCAGGGTCAGGGAGACGACAGTGATCAAGTTTAGCAGATCAGCCAGAGACCTCCAGATCTGACTCTGGTGCATTAGCCTGGAAAGGTTGTGGAGAGGGAGCTATTCTGTGCTAACACCAAAGATGGTTTGGGAACACAAGGTCAAATCCACCTGCAAACTATGGGCAGCAAAAGCAGAAAAAAAAGGAGTTGTTCTCCGGGACACTCCCCCGCCCAACCTTCCTGTGATTTGCAGCTGAGCAAGGCAAGGAGGGGATTGGCAAAGAGTACACTGTGGCCACAGAGTGCAGAGGAACTCCAAGTCCCAAATAAAGGGGAAAAACAGTGGCTCTGGTTTAAACTCAACAGCACATTTTAAGGGCCCAACACATGTGAAATTGGGGAGAGGACCAAAGTTTTAGACATGGCTCCTGACTGCAGGGAGCTTAGCATCTCCTTGGGCAGTTACCACCAAACAGTGAACCCTTGAAAGAAGATACTGTGGACTGAGGAGGGGCTCTAAATGCTGGAAGGGTTCAGAGAAGAACAGAAAAAGATAAGGCTTGGGAGGTGAGCAGGAGCCAGATGTTGCAGGGCCTTGGTCAGGTTGTGAGATTTTACCTTTATCCTGAGAACAAGGAACAACTATTGAAGAATTTTATATAAGGGAATGGCAGTATCAGATTTGTGTTTTGAGAAGGCCACTCTCAGGGCCAAGACGGAATGCTCGTCTGTAAGAGGAGCTCGATTGTATTTGTAGAGTGGATGATGGCTGCAGTGTGGAGAACAGATGAAAGAAACAGGGTGCGCTGAGCACGTGGAGGGCTAGGGAACAGGCCATTTCCCTGGTCTAAGGAGGGATGACGGTGGCTGAGCCTGAGGTAGCAATGGAGAGGGAGGGAAGTGGGAGGATTCAAGAACGACACAGAACACAAAAGTTATCCCACTTGATAGGGAGAGAGAGAGAAGGAAGAGTGAAGAAATTAATAATGGTGGTGCCATTCGAGATGGAATCCAGGAAGTTGCTGGGTAAACAGGGTGTATGGTCAAGAGTTCTGTCTTGGACAGGTTGAGTTTGAGGTATCTATGAAACATCCAAGATAAGCCGTCAACTAAAAAGCTGGCTATAAGGTCTGGAGTCTGAAGGAGAGGCCCAGGCTGGATATTAATCTGGGAGGTATCTGTGCAGAGATGAAAATCGAATGCATGGTTGGCGAAAGTGCATGGCAAGAGAGAAGGAAGCCTCGGGTGGAGCCTTGAAGAACTCAAACCATTCCTGGTAGGGTAGAGGAGGATGCATCTGCACAGAGACAGAGAGAAACTGGCCCCAGAGATAAGCAAAAGGCCGGAGAGTGTTTTATTAGGAAGCCAAGGGGAGAGTGTTTCCTGAAGGAAGAGAGGTCCAAGTGTTGAACACACCCAAGAAACCAAGTGGGAAATTGGGTTTGGTGCCGCGAGGGTCACCTCTGCTGTGGAGATGGAGCACTGATGCCGCAGGAGGATGTGAGGAGTAAATGGTGAGCATTTAAATTGCCCGATGCTGCACCTGGCACACCACAGGTGCTCGGTAAATATTAGCGCCTCTTCTCCAGACACACCGCCCCAGTCTCCTCCCTCTGCCTGCACTCATCAAAAATGAATGCACTGACTTGTGCTCCCTCTCCCTCTCCTACAAACATGGGCACATCAGATGTGACTTACGAGCTGGTGCCAGCTCCCAGGATGCCACAGAGAGAAGGGAGCACCTGCCTCCACATGACTAGCCTGTTCTGTCCCAAACCCACAAGCCAGTGCCCACAGCAGGTAGGAGCCTGCATATTTGCAATTCCAGCTTAACCTGCCAGCCACAAAATGACCCTCCTGTAGTTAGGGTGTTTTAAAATACAACAAGTTTTTGAGCAGCAACTGCCTGCCATTTTGTTTCTTTGGCTCATGAAACCAAAGAATTAAATGCAAAACTACAGATGGGGAGCTGGGCCGGTGCCCTTCACAGATGCTAAAGCCTGAGCAGCTATAAGTGGTGTTATGCAAACCATCAAGATCTCAACTAACCAGAAATTGGGGGCCTGGGACAGTGTCTTCTGGTGAACCAGTTCTCCTGATTTATCAGGCATTAGATTTTTTTGTTTTGTTTTGTTTTGTTGTTGTTGTTTTTCATTTTTGAGATGGAGTCTTGTTCTGTTGCCCAGGGTAGAGTATAGTGGCACGATCTCGGCTCACTGCAACCTCCGCCTCCCGGATTCAAGCAATTCTCCTGTCTCAGCCTCCTGAGTAGCTGGGACTACAGACACCCACCATCATGCCCAGCTAATTTTTGTATTTTTAGGAGAGACAGGGTTTCACCATATTGTCCCAGCTGGTCTCAAACTCCTGACCTCAAATGATCCACCCGCCTCGGCCTCCCAAAGTGCTGGGATTACAGGCATCAGCCACTGCGCCCGGCCTATCAGGCATTAGTTTTAACCAAAAAAACTTTTTTTAGTCTTTCTAGAATGTGCTAGCCTCCTTTCCTGATTTAGAATTTAAACTGTGGTGAATACAACTTAATCTTTTCTATGGAGAATTTTTCATGATACTCTTCTGTGGATTTAAAGGCATAGAAAATTAGACGGAATAGTGACATCTGGACTTGCCCTGGGAACATTTTTCAGCCCTGCTGTCAGCTTGTTTCCTTGTGCTTTGCCTTTTTTTCTTTTCAAAGTAAGGTGCAAAAACAGTTATTTGGTTAAGAATCCCGGGTGTGGAAGGTCCTAGCTGAGGCATTTTTAATTGCAACCCCTTCCATTTCCTCTGGAGACCCCTAATAGGTGCGCAGCAAACATATATTGAACAAATGACTGGATTCCTCTGGAGATGCAGGTTGTTCATCGTCACAGTATCGGTCTAGGCACTGTTTAGTCACACCTGAATGGCATTTATCTGGTATTTTCTACTTCCTACAATTTTGCTAAACATCAGCCCTGAGATAGACTACCAGTCTCCCTGGATAAATCGTGAACATGTTAATCTCTTTGGCGGCCCCTAACCCTAATGACTCAGAAACCATCCCCCTGTTGATGAAGGAAAGAGGGTAGGGTTTGGGCTGGGGACTCTGGTACTTGGCCTGTCCCCCTCAACCCCGACGTATAACACTCAAGTTCATCACCTCACAAGTGCACAAGGAAAAGAAATACAGAAGCACACACAAGAGGAGGAGAAAGGGAGAGGAGACTTAGCCTTCTGCTTCACATGGGGGCCACTGGGTAAATAGGGGGTGTCACCATTAGACCAGGTCACCGATGTGAGGAGAGACCCAGGAAGAAGGGCACTGGTCAGTCAGACCCTCAGGGATAGCAAGCAGATGGTGATCTTGGCAGGGACCTTGGGGAACGTCTCGTCTGACCTCTGCCTGAAGTTTGAGCTTATAGGCTGGCCAGTGGCAGAGGAGAGTCAGGCTTCTCCCAAGCTGGAGCTGCATGGGACAGACCCCTTGCACCCTCTGTGAAGTTGTTCAGGCCTGTGCCCTCTCTGCAGTCTGTGTGAGCTGGACCCCTCGGGGCATCCAAATTAAGATTGGGCTGTGCTGGAACTTCAGGCTGGGAAGGGGTCCTGGAGTTTGCCTGGCTGTGCTTTGACATAGGTGCCTTCTCTCCAGATTCCTGGGACTTCAAGCAGTCCACACGCAACATCTCCCCCACCATCAACCAGGCCAACATCGTGGACTTGCACCCAGCATCCGTGTACAGCATCCGCATGTACTCCTTCAACAAGATTGGCCGCAGTGAACCGAGCAAGGAACTCACCATCAGCACCGAGGAGGCCGGTGAGCACCTCACCCAGCCTGCCCTGCCCATGGCCTCAGGGATCAGGGACACCAGGGGCCTACAGCGATCCTGTTCATTGGCAATGAGCTTGCAGTTAGAGAGGGTGGGGTGGGGAAAAGCATCCTAACAGATGTTTGTGTCCACCTCTGAATCATCGGAGGCTCTTCCGTTTGACCCTTTTCCAGGCTAGGTTCTAAATGCTGGGTTTGGGGGAGCTATCTGTGGTTCTGCCCCACTCCCCTGGCCCCAGCATCTGGAAAGATCTATCTGCAAAAGATGGGGTACTAGGGCCTGGATCATTTTCTATGACCCTCATCATAGAGTTTTCTTGAAAGTTTAAACACGATTTCTCTTGCTCTGTTTTCTTTTATTATCATATAATACAAAATAATGCAGAGAAGGCCGGGAAGCTGTGGCTTATGCCTGTAATTCCACCACTTTGGGAGGCCAAGGTGGTTGGATCACCTGAGGTCAGGAGTATGAGACCAGCCTGGCCAACTTGGCAAAACCCTGTCTCTACTAAAAATACAAAAATTAGGCGTGGTGGCGCATGCCTGTAGTTCCAGCTACTCAGGAGGCTGAGTCAGGAGACTCGCTTGAACCTGGGAGGCAGAGGTTGCAGTGAGCCAAGATCACACCACTGCACTCCAGCCTGGGCAACAGAGCAAGACTCCATCTCAAAAAAAAAAATGCAGAAAAATACACATAACATATATGTGCAGTTTTATAAACAAGCATAAGGTAAACAATGAGTAATTAGTATAACCAACGCTCATTATCAATTAGCCAGCATGCCGGAAGTCCCCCATGTACCCCTTTCTGGTCATAACACCACCCCTCCCCTTGAAGTAATCAGTATCCTGACTTTCATGATACTAATTTTCATGCTTTTCTTTTTTGTACTGTTACCCCAGTGTATATGCAATAAAATGTATAATTTAGTTTTCCCTATTTTCCAGTAGAATGTATTCATGACATCATACTTCATATATTCTTCTGTATCTTGCTTGTTTTGATCAATATTACTTTTGCAAGCTTCATTCATATCATTAGCATAGCTATGCTTTTTCAGTGCTGTATAGTATTCCATTATATGACTATACCACAGTGGGTTTGTCCATTCTACTGTAGATGGACATTTAGGTTGTTTGTAGCTTGGAGCTATTACAAAAATGCTGCTATAAGCATTCTTGTATGCTAGTGTACCGGTTCATGAGTTTCTCTAGGGGATATAAACAGTTGTAGAATTACAGAGTCATCAAACAGGGAAATACTTCTACCCTTAACAAAAAATGCTAGAATGTTTTCTAAAGTGTTGTACCAATTTTCTCTCCCATGATCAGAGGATAAGAGTTCCTGCCACTAGACATTCTTGTATGAAGTAGACACTTCATACTCTTCAACTTTTAAAAACTTTTGCCATCCTACTGCATGTACAGTAGTATCTTATTATCATTGTTTCCTATATTTTCAGCAAATTATGGAGAATGAAGAGGAAATTGAAACCCTAGATACTTTCAGGGGAACTCAAACAAAAGTTCTCTGCTATCTGCATTTGTGCTTAGTCTTCTCCCCAGGAGCCCTCCTGCTCAGGAGAATGGGTGTGGGAACATAAAACCCCTTCCTCTTCCAGGTCTTGACTTGTAATGTTTCTCCTCCCCCCTACCCTGCTCAGCTCCTGATGGGCCCCCCATGGACGTTACCTTGCAGCCAGTGACTTCACAGAGCATCCAGGTGACCTGGAAGGTAAGTGTGTCTAAGGTATCTCCCCTGGAATGCCCCCTTGCCTCCTCTCTCCTCAATCCAGGACGGAAGCTCCCAGCAGGCTTGCTAGTCTCTAGTCTTATATGATGCTCAGGCCTGTTTTGTCACTAAACCTAGTGAGATTTGAGGGGTAGAAGGAGAGGGAGGCAAAGGGCAGGTCCCCCCGGCCCAATAACCCCCACTTCCCACTCCTCCCTGGTTCTCTGATGGGAGTCTCTGCCTGGGGTGGAATGAAAAACTTGCAGTGCCAAGGAGGGAAGATGGTTCCTCAGCTGTGCTGGCCCATCCTCCAAACCCCACATGTTGTAATAAGGTTGGAAGTAGATTTGATTCTATGCCAAGTTCCTCCTCTCTAACATCAGGATGAAAGTAACTGCCCTCCCTACCTCTGAGGGTGGAGGAACTGTGGAGAAAAGAGACCAGTATGTGCTACAGCCATTTCTAAGGGCAAAGACCTGTAAAATATAGAGGGGGTGACTGAAGCATCTGTCACTTAAAGAAACTCTGAGGGGAGATTCCACAGCTGGGCAGGGAAACAGAACAGAATGACCTTGCGCAGGACTCAGAAATGCTTCCCTGAGCAGCTTCTGGCCCTACCACCAAACCCCTCCAGGGGCACAGAAGGGCTGGCAATCCAGGGACTTCCTGTCTCACTACATCCTCCAGTCTCCAAGTGCTTTCTCTTTACCAACTTATCTGACCCTCTCCTCATTCCTGGGGAGCAGCGAGAGAAGGCACTTTTATCCCCTTCCACCAGAGGACGCCATGGAGACAAGACGTGAGATGGTCTGCCTAGCAGAGACAGAGCTCGGACTGCAACACAGTGTCTGCAGCCCCAGTCAGCCTTCCCTCCACAGCCACTGCACAGGGCTGTGGATCAGAGAGCATCCTCAGGGCTGTCTGTGTTCTTCCTGGAGCCTTCCCATCTTAACAGTGGGGCTCGGGGGCTGCCTGTCTTCATCAGGGACCAGTTATCCGTGGTGACTTTCTGACTCTTCTCCTTATAGGAAAAGCCCAGGTGCTTGAGTCCTTCTTCTGGGCTCTTTAGAAAGGTAGACTTGAGAATGAGAGGGATTCAAAAGGACCTGGTGATATTTTTCCTAAGACCATGTGCACACACACTCACACTCACACACATAGCAGCAGCCCGGTTCCTTCCCTCCCAGAGGCATGACCAAGAAGAAAGTGAGGTAGGGCTGGGCGGTTGGTCCTTCCTGGAGGCAGCCCACCTAGTGGATACCTGGAGCCAGGGTTCCTCTCCAGATTCAGCTCTGGGTTCCAGGGCTCTCCTCAGAAATTGGGGTGAGGCCTGGCATCCAATCCCAAACTCTTGGCTGTGTCCTGGCTGTGGACCTGTATCCTAGAAATACTCCAAGGCAGCCAGGAGGTGGGGGCAGGGATGAATAAATATGTAAAATACTGAAACGTTGGGCTACAAAGCTCTGACCCACAGGTCGATAAAAATTTGGAATCAGATTTATTTCTCCAAAGTCTCATAATGAAAAATAAAATTGATTAGAAAGTTAGAACTTCAGAATGAACCAGATGGTCAATAAATTTTGGACTGACTTCTCAGGGGATTTTTTTTTTAACATTGAGAAACAGATTAATGGAAAATAAAGATTCACTTGAAGATAAGTCACTTCATTTTAAGGCCCTTTCCACGAGATGGATCGCCCCTGCTTTATGACATAAATTTGCAATCAGCCCTATTGATTTCTTAATGCCAGAGAAATATTGTTAAGATTGATTTAAATCCTGACTGTGGCTCTTTGGAGAGGCGGGGGACAGAGAAAGAGAGAAGAGATGGAGAAGGAGAGAAAAAAAGAGAGAGGAAGGAGGGAGGAAGGATCTGTGAAGATTTGTATAAATATGTGAATCTATCTGGATGGATGGATTGGGGTGCGCCTGCATGCCTGTCTGAGGCCTGTCAGTATATGCTGATGTGGCCACGTATGCAGGTATATATCATGGTATACATAGCTCTGGGCATGTAGGCAATCTGTGGCATAGTATAATGATGTTCAATGTGTGTCAGTATAGATATACCTACATGAAATGTGAGAATGGGTGTCGATGTGAAGATACATTTATATCCATAAAGGATGTGTGTGTGTGTGTGTGTGTGTGTGTGCACGTGTGCATAGACATACATGTGTAGATACAAGACCCAAATGTAAAAATGTGTCCACTTGCAGACCAGCAAGCAGGACTGTCCAAGTGCAGAGAGAAATATTGAAGCAGCAACAAAGAATCAAGTCAATTAAACACACACACACAGACACACACCTATTTAGTGAGTTCAAAACAATTATGTTAAATTTAAAACTTCATTTTGTTGAGTTAACAGTGAGCTTTAAAATGCAGTTCATTTAAAACATTCATTGACTAGAAAAAAAACAGTAGGGCTGTTTTACTAACTTAATTGTTTTTGATCTCACTATTTTTTAGTACAATAAAAGGTGGGCTTTTAAATTAACTTCATTGTCTTTAAAACCCTGATTCAAGCTGTTTTTAAATGCACTTGGGGTGGGTGTTCTGTCTCAATTTATAGATGGGCAGGCCCGGTCATTAAAGGAGCCAATTTCTATTCGTGGATCTAAATGTATCTGGTCGGGAGTGGGGGTGTGGACTAAGATGTTTGCTTTGATGGGTCTGGATACATGCTCCTGGTTCTGGGTGTGAATGGATATATTGAGGTGTGTGTGTGCGTGCGCACCTGGTTGGGTGTGTATCAGGGTTCGAGCCTGGGGTGAGAGTGTTTTCCAGCCCCAGACTGATGCCAGTGAAGTTTCTCCATTCTCCTGGCTGACTGGGCTCAGTCTTCATTCCCACCAGCCCCCTTCTAACCTTCAAGTCCTTGCCATCTCTGTGCCTCCATCCAGGGTTCATTCGGGGCCTCAGCCTTCACCATTCCCCAGTCCCTGACCGTGGTGTCTGAGGCAATGCAGTCTTAGTGTTCCCACAGGGGCTGCACCCAGGTGAAAGTCAGGGATCTTTTTTTCTTTAGTTTTAATGAAATACATATAACTTAAATTTATCATTTGAACCATGTTTAAGTGTGCAGTTCAATGCACGTTCACAATGTTGTACAACCATCACCACTAGCACTTCCAGAACTTTTTCATCCTCTCCAACTGAAATTCTGTACCCACGAAACATGAGCTCCCCATGAAAGCTCTATTCCACCCCTCTTTTGTTGAGACAGAGTCTCGCTCTGTCAATCTTGGCTCACTGCAACCTCCGCTTCCCCGGTTCAAGCGATTCTCCTGCCTCAGCCTCCTGAGTAGCTGGAACTACAGACATGTGCTACCAAACCCAGCTAATTGTTTGTATTTTTAGTAGAGATGGGGTTTCACCGTGTTGGCCAGACTGGTCTCCAACTTCTGACCTCAGTTGATCCACCCACCTCAGCCTCCCAAAGTGCTGGGATTACAGGCGTGAGCCACCGCTCCCAGCCTATTTCCTTCTCTCTGATTTTGACCATTCTAAGTACCTCCTAAGTGGAATCGGACAGTAGTTTTTGTCCTTTTGGGTCTGGCCTATTTCTTTTAGTGCAGTGTCTTCAGGTTCATCCGTGTTGTGACAGATGGTAGTGCTCTCTCTCTTTCATGGCTGCGTACTACCCCATTGTATTGCAATATTGTATTCTGCGTCTCCACTCATCTCCTGGTGAACGCTTCAGTTACTTCCACCTTCTGGCTATTCTGGATAATGCTGCGTTGAACATGAGTGTACAAGTATCTCTCTGAATCCCTGTTTTCAATTATTTGGGGCATAAACCCTAGGAAAGGAATTGCTGGGTGGTATGGTAATTCTATGTTTAAGTTTTTGAGGAACTGCCAAACTCTTTTCCACGGTCACTGCGCCTCTTTCCATTCCCACCAGGAATGTACAGGGTTCCCATTTCTCCATCCTCACTACCACTTATTTTCCATTATTGTTATAAGAGCCATCTTAATGGATGTGAAGTGGTATCTAGGGACTCTTTCTTTTTATTCAAACTAATTGCTCACCTCCCTCTCCATCTGATTACTTTTTGTCTGCTGTTCTATTTTCCCCAGGCCCCTGAACCCATGCCAAATGATATTCCTATTCATTCATTCATTCGTTCATTTGTTCAGTATGTATTGAGGGCCCATCGTATGCTAGGCACCATTCTAGACACGGAGAGTGCAATAGTAACAAAGCAGGTAACACTCCTCGTCCTCACGGTGCTTCCGTTCTAATGCAGGCAGACAGGCAGATTTCACTAATGCATAAGTGGAATTTATAGACTGTCAGATGATGCTATGTGCTGTGGAGGAAAATAAACCAGGAAGAAAAATAAGGAGTGCCAGAGACAGGCAGGGAGCTGTCTTACATAAGGAGCTAAGGAAGGCCTCATTCAGAAGAGGCATTTCAGCAAGGACGCGGCAGAGGAGAGAAGTGTTTCCCCTGAGATGGGGATGTGGCCAAAGAGGCCAGAGTGCTGGGGTGCAGGAAGCGAGGGGCACAGGAGGGGATCTGAGAGGTAATGGGAGGTCACAGGTCACACAGAGCGGTGCAGCCATTGTAAGGACTTTGGCTTTCATTCTGAGTGAGACAGGAGCCTTTGAAGGGCTGGGGCAGAGGAGTGACATGATCTGACCTTGGTTTTAAGAGCATCATCTTAGAATGTCCCATTTCTTTGTCCCCACCCCTTCCCCATGCTCACAGGCACCCAAGAAGGAGCTGCAGAACGGTGTCATCAGGGGCTACCAGATCGGCTACAGAGAGAATAGCCCCGGCAGCAACGGGCAGTACAGCATCGTGGAGATGAAGGCCACGGGGGACAGCGAGGTCTACACCCTGGACAACCTCAAGAAGTTCGCCCAGTATGGGGTGGTGGTCCAGGCCTTCAATCGGGCTGGCACGGGGCCCTCATCCAGCGAGATCAATGCCACCACTCTGGAGGACGGTGAGGGCCCAAGCAGAGGGGAGTGGGCACAGATCCCCAACATGGGCAGAGCCACAGCTGCCAGAGAGGGCTTGTGGGTCCCTCCATTTGCCCCTGGGCCCCATCTTGGTCCTGTGTTCCACACAGGCTCCCTGCATCCCAGCCATTTCCTCTTGTCCACTGGCTCCTTGAGGGATGCATGGGCCATTCAGCATACTGGGCCTCTCCTTCCTTTTGACTGATGCTCTACTCATCCGGTCTCTGTCGACCTGTTGGCCTGTCTGAGAATTTGCCTGTCCACCTGTCTCCCCATTCACGCTTCTCCCTCGGCCTTCTTCCTTCTTCCTGGCACCCTAACCCCTCTCTCTTCCCTCTACACCTGGTCCTATTTCTCCTCTTTTACAACTTCTTGGAAAAAGGGCAGGAGCCAAATTGCCTTTGTGTTCTAGCCTGGAACCTGTCCACCATCTACCTGAGATGAAGCTGAGGAGTTAAGAGATCCTAACGTGTATGCAGCAGAGGATTTAGAGTCCAGCTTTTTAAGTCTTCATTCTTCGATGACTAGAGAGAACCCCACACTCTGATTAGTACATCAAAGGGCCCTGTCTCTCCAGGAGGAGAGGGTTAGGAGGCAGCAGGAACATGCCCACTCTCCAAGCACAGAGAAGATGCCAGCTGGTACCTGAGCCTGCACCAGGTTGAGAAAAAGGACATGGCCCTTGATGCTCCCAGAGACGGGGCCAGGCTGACCTCTGTCCCCTAAAGAGCAGAATAAAGAAGAAGCAGAGCATTCTTCCAATCTTCCTTCTTGATGCCCCAACACAAAACTAGGGTCTGAGACTAAAGCCCCGCTGAGTCAGAGCCTGCCCACCCCGCCCCAACAGAGCAAAACCAATAGTCCAGAGGGCAGAATGCCCTTTCCCCATTCCCATCAGAAGACCAAGCATTTCACCACTAGAGAGCCATTCCTTTACAGGAAGCAATGCCCTCCGCCTACCTCGCCCTCTCTGAAAATGCAGCACCCAGGGGATGGGGGACACATTAGGTCAGAAACACCTGACAGTAGATACGCTCGTACCAATGGTTCCCAACATGGCCACCAGTTGGCATTATCTGGGGAACTTTCAAAATACTGATGCCAGGCTTCAACCCCAGAGATTCCCATTTGATGATTCTGGGGCAAAAGCTGGGCTTTAAGATGGGGCCGACTTCAATAGCCCCAGAGCATTGAGCGCCTGAGAAGAGGGGAGAACTGAATGAAGGAAAGAGGCACATGGCAGAGAAGTCCAGCGGGAGGGAGGAGAGCCGCACCGCAACCAAACCCTCAGCCCATGGCCCTCGCTATCCCTCTCCATCCCTCCCACCCTGAGATGCTGGCCTCGGGCCTGGCCGGGTTGAGGAAGATCAGCTTGTCTCCTCTTAGTGCCAGGAGTGTTCATTTCAGCAGTGGCCTAACACGTGGTTCTCAGCCCTGAGCACAAAGCAGAGCCTCCTGGAGGTCTGGGAAATGCAGGTTGCTGGGCTCCACCCCCCAGAGCTTCTGCTTCAGCAGGTCTGAGGTGGGCGCCAAGAATGTTCATTTCTAAGCCGGGTGTCCAGCCTGGGTAATACAGTAAGACCCCATCTCTTAAAAAAAAAAAAAAAAAAAAAAAAGGACGCATTGTGTCGAATAAGTTCGCAGGCAATGTTGCTTGTCCAGGGAGCACCTTTGGGAATCATAGCACCAAGAGTCGCACCATTATCTATGCAGGGAGGCCAAGGCTCAAGGAGATTAACTCATCCAGAACCATCTATCCAGAAAATAACAGAGTCTGGATCAAAATCTCTGAATCCCATCCATACCCTTCCTGCTTCAACTTGTGCCTCCCTTTTGCTTGGGAGCAAGGCTGGATGCAGGAACAAGCGATGCAGATGCAGGAGACTTTAGGAAGGTGTGTCCAGGGAACAGCTGTCCCAAGCCGAGGCCAGCCTGCCCCACCGAACACTAAGCTCCCATGCACCGCCAGGCCCACCTCTGGCCCCCTCGTGGGGGCCCCTGGAATTTCCAACAGGGAGAGATCAGCATGGGCTATGGAGTCATTTTCAAAACAAAGGGGGAGAGGGGAGAAGAAAGTTTCCAGCAGCATTTGCTCAGCAGTTTTTCATACTTAATTAAGGCCCTCGTTAGCCTGTCAGATCCTGATCGTTTCCTGGCAATATTAGCACTCCTCCTGGGGTATTCAAGGGCCCCTGCTTTAGCAATAGTGTCTTTTCCATAATTATATTACCTTCATTTTGTTCGAACGGACGATCTGTATTAGTTTATTACACTGGGTCCCTAATTACATGGTGCTTATATTTTTACACCTAAGTAATATGAAACAATAATCATTCTCAAAGAGGATCGTTAGGATGATGTATTATCATTTAAATGCTCATAAAAATTAGAGTTGCCTCTTGTGGGGCAATGGGATCTAATTACCTTCCAGCCAGTCTGTGCCTCCTTTCTCCCACTCGGAGCAAAGCAGACTCCGTCTTGCGCTTTGTCCCTGGCCCTCGGATGCCAGCAGGAAGTGCCACCGGAGTTCCCCCGAGCTGAGGTGGATCCCGGGGGATAGGGCTTCGGAGGCCTGTCGTCTCAGGAGGGGCAGGCTGCACAGCGCCCCAGGGTGAGCCTCAGCTTAAACTCAAAGGTGGCTCTCAGAGGGACAGCGTGGCCGGCAGGAGAAGCACCTAAGCTGGTCTCAGAGAGTGTTTTCCCATCATCCAGGCCTTTTAGTGTGCTCGAGTACAAGGGCATGAGCAAAGGTTTAATGGTCCCAGAGGTCCCGAGGTCCCGGTGGAAGCTCCTCTCCTGCACCAGGGTTAGCTGAAGTCCTTTTCCCTTCTTTGCCTTCCCTTCAGCTTGGAACAAGGACACAGGAACACAAGAACCAGGCCTTGGCCCAGACCCCTGGTCAGACGACACAGAGGGGCTGGCAGCCGTCAGATGAGATGATGCATTGCAGACACCTCCAGGGCTGGCTTGGTGGCCTTCCGGGTCTGTCACGTTCATCACAGCAGGATTTCCCTGGGCTGTGGTGGCCCACTGGGGAATTCCCAGGGGCTCATGCCCAGAGTTCATCACCTTCTTCCCCAGGATTTAACCACAACCAGGAATGTGCTACCCGGAGAACAAGGAGCCAAGTCTGTAAAGATTTCTGTCTGCCCCAATCTCCAGGAAAGGAAACTCGGTTCACTTCCTGGCCTCCCTGCCCCAACTCTCACTCTCAGCACCCGCGAGTCAGGAGGTCCCTCCACTTGTCTAACTGGACCCTCCTCTGGTTGGACCATGGAATCCAGCCTGGGACATAATTGCTGTACTGTCACTCACACCCATGACTGACTGGACCCTTGGTTCTCCCCTGACCCCCTGCAGTGCCCAGCCAGCCCCCTGAGAATGTCCGGGCCCTGTCCATCACTTCTGACGTGGCCGTCATCTCCTGGTCGGAGCCCCCGCGCAGCACCCTCAATGGCGTCCTCAAAGGCTATCGGGTCATCTTCTGGTCCCTCTACGTGGATGGGGGTGAGTCTGCTGGGATGATGGCTGGGCCTCAGGGGAGAGGCGCAGGGTCAGTGGGGTCTGCTCCCAGGTGTAGTTAGAGCTAAGCATCCTCCTACGGCATGGCAAGGGGAAGTGCAGCCCCTCTTCTCCACACGGGGAGGCCGCAAGAGGACGATAACGGCTATAGGGGCCAGGGGATAGTGAAGGGGCTTGGGATTCACTTGCACACCTCCGTGTTCAACTGAGGTCAGAGGCAGGGGCAAGGGGGTTGGTGGTACACAGGGTGGCATCTCTGGTGAGGGGTAGGAAGGAGACACCCAGCTACTCCCAGACAACAGTATGTGTTTGGGGAAGTATTGGGGGCATGAAAGGGGCAGATCAGCTTTTCTAGTTTCACGTGTTGATAATAGGCCTTTATGGCTGTGTGAGTCAGATACCAGTGGGGAATAGTCGGTACATTCAAATAGGGCAATCAAAGAATTTAATGAAGGGACTGAGGAGGGAGGTGGGCACCTGGGACGAGCATCAGCAGGAAGCCGGCAGCACCTAAGGCCAAGGGGGAAAGGGAGGAAGCAGGGCTACCAGAACCCAGGGAGAGCCTCCCTTGGCCAAACCCAACTGGAGCCAGGCATGCAGCAAGGTGTGTTTTCTGTGCAAACAAGCCGCCCAGGACCCAGAGAAGGGCAGAGAGGTGCGCACAGTGGAGCTGGGGGGTAGGAATGGCAAATGGAGAGAAACCAGTAAGATGGCCCAAACTTCTGAATGTCTTCCTCGCCCTGGAATGTGCAAACAGGTTTGAGTAGCATCCTACAGGCACACCAAGCTCCCGCCACTGGTGTACACAGACCTTCATGCGACCTGGAGGCTTGTAGCTCACACAGGTCAGAGGACCAGCGTCCCAAATTATGGAAACATTCCACTGAAGGCCTTAGTCATCTCAATAGACCACAAAGGACTAAAATGAGTTTGCCCCCAACCTGGCTCCTGCACTTTCTGCCTCCCAGCCCCCTGGGCCCTCTCTTCTTTCCTGGCGGACCTTGGAATCCAGCTCACAGTCATTTGTCCAGCGCTACTACGGTCCCCTCTCCCATCCAGATTCCGCTCTGCCCAGACACACTGTCAGTAGGAAGCATCTTTCCCCACCGCCACTTCCACTCTCTCCCACAAAAAGCAGAGGGCTCTAGCTCAGGTTGAGTTCCCTGAAGGTCTCCCCAATTCTTTTGCTGTGCAGTGCCAGGCCACGCTGCTCACAATGTGACCTCACTACATTCATATTCGTGTGGAACCAGGTAAAGGGTGGTTCCCTGTTTTCCAGAACTCGCTTCCTCTTTTCCAAGCCTGTGGGCTTCTCCAGCGTAACCCCTAAGGAATGTATTGGCCTCGGCAATCCCCAAAGACCAGCTGGACACTTGACCACGCTGCCCTCTTCCTGCCCTTTCTCTGGCTCCAGTTCTGGACAGGCCAGCCTGGTTTTTGACTCCAGGAGAGGAAGGCCCTGCTGCTCCGGCCTCTGGGGGTCCTCCTGCACTGACCTGGAGTCTTCTCACGCTGGGCACAGCCTTCTCATCCTCTGGATCCTGGCAGCACTGCTTTTCCTGGCCAGGCCCTCTTCCTTGGCCTTTTGCCTGCCCTGGACCATCCACGAGGTGCTGGGAGGTGGGTCTCCAGGAACTCATGTCTACGAGGTTGGTCCTCAGCCCGTTACTGGGCCTGTCTTTCTGAAAGCCCAGCAGTCCTAGTGGGAGGCTCCAGAGTCTGTCCCTTTTCCTTCTCTTACAACTCTGGCCCTCGTGGGACCATCTCCCTAAGCTCCTCTTTAGAGTCTATGAGAAGGTCCTTGCAGGGCCGGGATGTTGGGTCCTCCCTAAGCCTCAGGAGTGTCCCAGCTCTTCCTGGCTGAGGCTATCGGCTCCACCAGCCTCACCCAGGCTTTCTGTGCAGGGAATGGCTGGGTGTCTCCAACGGTGGGGAGAAGGCAGACGGGTCACTCAACCCCTTAACCCAGCTGGGAGTCCAGGGTGCTGGCTCAGGAGTAGTCAGAGGCAGGAGAGGCAGCCTCAGCCTGTCACACGTCATCCTCAGGTCGATAACCACCCAGGGAGGTATGGCGGCCCAAGGCGGGCTGGGCAGCAGGAGGAGTGGCTGCTGAGTTGTGCCTACTGGACGGGACCTCCTCCCACCCATGTCCAAGCCACTCCAGGCTCTCCCATGGGAAGGGAGTTGGGTAGCAGGAGGGAGAAATGTTGCTTGGAGAGATGGAGAGAGAGGCGTTTTAAAGAGCATGTCAAGGTGAAATTGGTGCAAAGTCAACTGAGGCCGGGTCCAGGCCAGCATCTGTGGCTTGCCCTCACAGCATCTGTGGCTTGCCCCTGTCTCTAAGGAGAGAGACAGGGCCTAGGGGCAGTGGCCCACATCTGCTCCTGGGTACCTCAAGGTGAAAAACCCTCTAGTCCTCACCTCCATGGAGTGGAGGGCTGAGCCTGAGCAGTAGGTGTGAGCAGAGCCCAGGCAGCAGGGGTAGGAGCAGGGGCCACAGCCTGATGGAGCTGGGCCCTCAGAGTTTGCTGGTCTCTGGCAGAGTGGGGCGAGATGCAGAATATCACCACCACACGGGAGCGGGTGGAGCTGCGGGGCATGGAGAAGTTCACCAACTACAGCGTCCAGGTGCTGGCCTACACCCAGGCTGGGGACGGCGTGCGCAGCAGCGTGCTCTACATCCAGACCAAGGAGGACGGTGAGTCCAGGCCTGTCCTTGGGACAGGCTGGTCCTGCTGCCCAATGCTCACCCCCAACCCCACCCCAGGAGGCAGGGTGAGAGCAGGGTACTGTCCTTTCTCCTGCCCTTTGAGCCATTGGAGGGTGGCCTTGAGGACTCTGGGGAAATGCTCTCGGATTCATGCATGAGCAGATAAGCAACGTGAACCTCCCTGCACCTCCCCCCGCCTCCCCACACACACCTGCTCTCTGAAGCATTGAATCAGAGGCCAGAGAAACCCTCTCCCCCTACCCCAAGGGCATTCTCTCTGTGGCATCTGCTCCCCTGACGCGTTCAGCCTGCTTTCCTCTGGATACAGATGTTGGGGCTGGGGGGGAGCAGGAGCATCATTCAGCACATCCCGGGTTATGGACTTCGTGGTCACCCCATAGAGGTGGGCTCTGGGCTTCTGCCTCCAGCCCTGCCACTTTCTTCCCCTCCCAGTCCCAGCTCTATCACTTAGTTGTTTCATAGGTGAGCGCTCTGGGCCGGGTGCCCTGTTACTAGAAGAGGTGTGACAAGCGACTGGCACACAGCAGGCACAGAAGCAGAAGACATCTTTGGCATGATGGCTTCCTCCCCACTCGCCCTTAGTTTTTTCAAGGGATATGGAGGCCCAGAGCCTAGATCCTACCCAAACAATTTGGCTGAAGGCACTGGAAGGGTTTAATGTGTTGAAACGAGTGACTCAGGCTGGGAGTGGTGGTGGAGAAGCTGCCATTGTTGCCCAGTGCCTGGTGACTGGACCAGCTCCCAGCTCAGCTTAATCTCCAGGCTTTCCCTCCCTCTCCCCCTACAGCAGGCCCCCTCTCCCCTTAAGCCCTGAGCAATTCAATATTTACCAACCTGCCTGCCCTACTTTTCCTGTCATTAATCCTCCCATCAAGGCCTCCTGGGACAGCTCCGGGCAGAGCCACCTGCTCCAGTGTGGAGACTAAGCTGAGATGGCATCTAGAGCCTGGTCCCATCTGAGGCCTCAGGGCCACACTCAGGCACCTTTTGGCCTCTAGAAATGAGCCCCTGGAGCCCCCAGGCTTCTTCTTGCCCCCTGGTCTGATGCAAGGCCTATGCCATAAGCACCTCTACCTGTTTAACTGATCAAGGCAAGGCCCTATGAGGAATCCAGAGGTCTAGGAGCATCACCCTTCCCTGCAAGGAGCCTTCAGCCCTCTGCCCAGAGCCACACATGGTTATACACAGCAGGAGCCCGGGCCCAAAGAAGCACTGCCCCTGACCTTCGGGAAGCAGCACTGCAGCACGGAAAAGGCGCTGGTAAATACAGCGGAAGTGCATACCCCCAGCCTGGCATTCATGGGGAAGTCACTTAGCCTTCCTGAACCCCAGTTTCCTCATGATAAAATGGGGAGAGTGGTACCTCATCAAGTACTAGTACTACATCTAAAATGTCAACTACTAGCAAATAGCAGTTGCTTTATGGCTACCAAGGTGCTGGCAAGGAAATGATTGCTTCAGGCCAGATGCAGTGGCCCACACCTGTAATCCCAGCACTTTGGGAAGCCGAGAGAGGGTGGATCACCTGAGGTCAGGAGTTTGAGACCAGCCTGGACAACATGGGGAAACTCTGTCTTTACTAAAAATACAAAAATTAGCCGGGTGTGGTTGGGCACCTGTAATCCCAGCTACTTGGGAGGCTGAAACACGAGAATCACTTGAACCTAGGAGGCGGAAGTTGCAGTGAGCCGACATCATAGCACTGCACTCCAGCCTGGGTGACAGAGCAAGATTCCATCTCAAAAAAAAAAAAGAAAGAAAGAAAGAAAAGAAAGGAAGCGGCATCAGAGCCTCCAAGGGGAAGCCCAGGTCACAAAGAACCCAGTGTCGGATGAGGTCTCATCCAGAACAGCAGTCATAATATGACTTAACCCGCCCAAGAGCCCCGGGAGGGAGGCATTATTTCCACGTTACAGGGGAGAAAACCGAGGCCTCCAGAGTGAAAGCTACTTTCCAAATGCCACTCAACTAACAGGGGACAAATCCAGGCTTTCTTGTCTCCACATACTTTATCCTTTCCATCAAACTACTTGTGTCTGTTAGGAAGCTGTTTGTTGTGAAAGCCAGTGAAAACAGATTTCAGCCATAAGCACATTTATTATCACATACAGCAAGAAGTCCTGAGTAGGACAGCTCTAGGGTTGGTTAAGTCAGAGGTTCCCAGCCTTCTGCTCTGCCATCCTCTGAATATCAGCTGCCCCTGCTAGGATTTCAAGATGGCTGCAGCCCTAGGCATCACACCAGACAAGATAGAGTTCAGACTGAGAAGAGGGAATCTCTTCCTGTGGGCATGCCTCTCTTGGGAGTCAAAGTAACTTTCCCAGAAACCCCCTCAACAGACTTATCCTCATTTCCCATTGGCCAGAGTGGGGCCACATGCCTCTTGCTAAGCCAGTCGCCAAACAGCAAATTGAATTATCGTGGCCAATTTACCCCAAGCACAACATACCCTCTAGTGTGGGCAGTAGAGACAGCTGTCTCTGAAGTGTGGAGGAACACAGGTACCTAAGCAAAAGTGAGGTTCTATTTGCAAGAACCAGGAAGGAATGGCAGAGGGTAGCAGTCAACTCTGCCTGTCCTCCACAGCCACCCCACCTCCACCAGGCTCTCCCATTCATAGGTGGAAGTTATTAGTTATTGCTCAGTTGGCATGGAAAGCAGACAGGTCTGTGGTCCAATTCCAGCCCTGGTGTGGGAGCTTGTGCAAATATCCTCATCTGAAGACACCATGACCCCACCCTCAGGATTTTGAATTTTTCTAAAGGAAAAACAGTATCAGGAAATTTAGAAAAAAGCGAAAGAAATTTAAAAGAACAAAATGCAAACATAAATTCAGGTTTATTTACTGAGTCCAGATCTCTTAGTCCAAGCATGATTTCAGGCTGGCTTGGCTGGACCCAGTTAATGAGCTCCAGTGCTGACTCCTCAGCCTCCGTCTGTGAATATTAAACCTAGCAACATGACCTCCAAGTGCAAAGTTGACTTGGATTTTAGACCACTTTAAAGACCTTTAACTGAGGAAGAGGCATGACTAGACCCACGTTTTAGGAAGGTAATTCTTGTTGATGGCCGGCAAAGGGTGGGTAATAAGGACTAGTGTCAGAGAGACCGGTTAGAACCTGTCGAGGTAGAGGCGAGGAAGTTATGCACTAGGGCAGCAGCACTGAGGATGAATGGCAGTGACAAGTTCAGAGAAACATATCAGAGGAGTTCTACCTCCAGCAAGGGTGGATTGTGTGACTTAAACTCACGCTTCTTCTTGCTGAGGACAGCTAGCAAATATGGACAAACTACTTTTCAGAACACCTGTTGAAGGCATCAGAAAGCTAGCAGGAGAGTGAAGAATCATTAGGCCGGGATCCAGGGGAAAACAGAGGCCCCGGAGGTGAGCCTGACATTTGGAGCAGCTCCTTCCCTAAGGGACATCTGCTGAATCTGGAGGCAGTGGCCGAGAAGCTGAACAGCACTAGAAAGACATGAACTGGAGGTCAGGGCCTGCCAGGATGTGGGGTCTGTCTGGTGAATCCCCCTCACTTAGAGTTGAGACCATGAAGGATGGCACTCTAAGGGTAAAAGTGGACCAAAAGCAGACAGTTCACCTTCAAATCATCCCAATACTGGAAACTGAAGTTACCCCAGATTGCTAGTGCCCAGATTGCAGGTGCCTATCAGGAGCAAACATGAATCCTCTCTTTAGGAAGATAACATCAGCAGATGCCACAAATTATTTCTACAAACTATTTTGCAAATGCTGTGTCTGGAATACAATAAAAAATAATGGGACAACGCTAACAAAAGCCAGCAGGGAAAAAAAGACAGATAAGAGCAACAGACCCGCAAAGGTTTCAGACTTGGGTCTTGTCAAACATGGACTTAAAGATAATTATGTTTGACAAGATTGAAAACTTCAGAGAACTGGAAACTATCAAATGGAAAATCTAGGGGAAAATACCCTAATACTTGAAATTAACTCAGTTGATGAGTTTAATAACACATTAAACATAGTTGAAGATATAACTCATGAATTGGAATATAGGCAGAAGAAAATATCCAGATGTAGCACAGAAAGACAAATAGATGGAAAAGTAAAACAGCAGGTAAGAAACATTGAACTTCAGTGTGTATACAGATCACTTGGGGATCGTGTTAAAATTCAGATCCTGATTTGGCAGGTCTCAGGTGAAACCTCAGATTTTGAATTTCTAACATGCTCCCAGGTGATGCTGGTAATTATCCACAGACCACATTCCAAGTATCAAGGACACAGAGGATGCAGTGAGAAGAAATCCCAAAGAAGAAGAGACAGAGAATGAAGTAGAAGATAAAATGTCTGAAAATGTTTCAAAACTGATGAAAGATATCAAGCCACAAATTCAAGAAGCTCTACAAACTCTATTGTCACACATTAAAGAAATCCGCACTTTGGGAGGCTGAGGCGGGTGAATCACGAGGTCAGGAGTTCAAGACCAGCCTGGCCAAGATGGTGAAACTAAAAATACAAAAAATTAGCTGTTTCTACTAAAAATACAAAAAAATAGCTGGGTGTGGTGTCAGGTGCCTGTAATCCTAGCTAGTCGGGAGGCTGAGGCAGAGAATTGCTTGAACCCAGGAGGCGGAGGTTGCAGTGAGCCGAGATTGTGCCACTGCACTCCAGCCTGGGTGACAGCTGTCTCTTATACACATCTAGATGTGTATAAGAGACAGCTTATAAAGAAAACAGAGAGAGATCTTAAAAGCAACCAGAGGAGAAAAAACTGATTACTCCAAAGAAAGAGCAATAAGATTGTGGCTAACTTGTCAGAGACAATGGAAACCAGAAAAAAGGACAATGATTTATTTATATATATATATAAAATATGTAAGGAAAACAGTTACCAACCTATGATATTATACCTAACAAAACTATTCTTCATGATGAAGATGAAATAAACACATTTTCAGACAAATGAAAACTGAGAGAATGTATCACCAACATACCTGCCCTAGAGAAGTATCAGAGGATATTCTTTAACTAGAAGGAAAATGATCGTAGAAGGAAGCTCAGTGATGCAGCAAGTAAAGGCAAAGCAATTAAATGGTGAATGTATGGGTAAATCTAAATTAATATTGGCTGCATAAAACAGCAATGATGATGATGATGTATAATATAGAATTAAACAACAATGGGGGTGGCTCAGTGTAATCTCAGCACTTTGGGAGGCCGAGGTGGGTGGATCACTTGAGGTCAAGAGTTCGAGACCAGCCTGGCCAACATGGTGAAACCCTGTCTCTACTAAAAATACAAAAATTAACCTGGCGTCATGGTGGGCACCCATAGTCCCAGTTACTCAGGAGGCTGAGGCAGGAGCATCGCTGGAACCTGGGAGGCGGAGGTTGCAGTGAGTGAGCCGAGACCACATCACTGCACTTCAGCCTAGGCAACAGAGTGAGAGTCTGTCTCAAAAAAATAAAAATAAAGTGAAATAAAATACACAGTAATGGCAAGGTTGGGACAGGGTAAATGGAAGCTCTAAGGTCACTGCATTGTCTGAGAAGAAAAGTGCCCATTGATATTAGACTTTGGTAAACTAAAGATTCATGTTGTAATCTATTGTGGAACCACTAAAAGTAGTGAAAGACTGTGTAATAGTCAAGCTAATAGAGGGAGGAAAATAGAATATTTTTTATTTGACTTAATTAAAAGAAGCCACAAAAGAAAAGGAAAAGAAAAAATGGGGATAGGATAGATGAGACAAATAGAAAGTATTTAGTAAGATGGTATATTTAAACCCAAATATAACAGTAATCGCATTACAGATAAATTAACTAAATCCTCCAACTAAAAGATAATGACCATCAGGATGGTAGGTGAAAACCAATGCCCAAATATGTGCTGTTTACAGGAAATGTATAAAACATAAGGGTATAAAAAAGTTCAACATGAATGGAAAAAATAAGACATATCATGCAAACTAATAGAAAGCTGGAATATTAGTGTCAGACATACTATACTTTAAGGCAAAAAGAATTAGTAGAGATAAAGAGGAACACTTTGTTCTGATAAAACAATTTACTAGGCAAATAAAACAATTCTAAATTTGAATGTACTGAATAATATAACCTCAAGATATATAAACACAATAACTGATGAATTACAAGGAGAAAGAGACAAATTCACAACCACAGTGGAAGATTTTGACACACCTCTTTCAATAACTGATAGGAAAAAAAGTGTGCAAGCATGGAGATTTGAACACTCCAATTAGTGTACTTACCCCAGTGGCCATCCATGGACGCCTTTACCCCACAGCTGCAGAGACATCCAGCAGAAGTGACACACAGGGCTGTGTAGCAGGGAGGACAGGTGGAGTCAAGGACAATTCCCAGGTTCTGGACTCAGGCCCCCAGAAGGATGATGATGCTGTATCTAGTTATTTTATTTAGCCCCAAGTGATTGACTAGGAAAGAAAACATTGAGGTAGGTGCCATCAGCTGAGAGGTGAGAGACAGAATGCAAAAATAATAATTGTTATAATTTATTGAGTGTCTTATGCAATAGGTACTGTGCTAGCTGCTTTTATTTTATTTTACTTTATTTTATTTTATTTTTGAGACAGAGTCTTGCTCTGTTGCCCAGGCTGGAGTGCAGTGGCGTGATCTCAGCTCACTGCAACTTCCACCTCCTGGGTTCAAGTGATTCTCCTGCCTCAGCCTCCCTAGTAGCTGGGATTACAAGCACACGCCACCATGCCCGGCTAATTTTTGTACTTTTTGTAGAGACAAGGTTTCACTAGGCTGGTCTCAAACTCCTGACCTCAGGGGATCCGCCCGCCTCGGCTTCCCAAAGTGCTGGAATTTCAGGCATGAGCCACCACGCCTGCCCAGTACTTTAATTAGCACTAATTCTCACTACAACCTTTTAATACAGTTCTTATATCCATTGTATAAATGAGGACACTGAAGCTCAGAGAGGTAAAATAAATTGAATAGGATGCTATCACTGTCCTCAAAAGATCATAAAAGTTTCTGGAAGGAAAACAAGTACACAACCATACAATGGAGAGATGAGAATAGGCAGTGTGAGCTGAGAACAGGAAGCTTCCAGTCCCCCAGGCAGAGTCCTGGGGTCCCAGCTAGGCAGGAGAGGCCCAGAGAGGAGGGCAAGGGGAGATCAGAGTCCATAAGAGTCGGAGTCCACTTCAGATGGATTTCCTAGTCACTTCTAAGGTAGACTTTCTTCCAGAAAGGGCCCAGCCAGCACTCCAAGCGCAATGCCCTGGGCTCATGCCAGAAAACAGGCTGTGGTCCCAGCTTCGAGAAACTCACAGGCCAAAAAGGAAAGTGACAGGTGCCGGGTGTTTTCCCGCTAAAAACACGCTTACAGTTAGTAAGGGGGTGAGGGTCAGGGGTTAAGGTCAGAGGGATCAAGATGAATTCCTCATAGGTTCTGTTTCTCTTTTGCCTATTGTAAGTCCTTGGTTCTGGCCGAACAGTTCTGAAGCTGGCACTCCAAGGGCCTCCATTTCAGAGACTTTGTTACAATTCCAAAATGATCATTTTCTCCTCCTACCTGTTTACCATGCTGGACGGACCCCCTCCTTCTCTAAACCACAGCTCAAGGATGGCAGCTCCAAGAAGCTCTCCCAGATTGATCTGCCTCCCTCTCCCAACCCTGTCATTTTCCCCAAAGGCTGTGCTCCTGTTTTCTCTCCACTGACCAGGCCTTCTCCCTGCTCAGTTCCAGGTCCCCCTGCTGGCATCAAAGCTGTCCCTTCTTCAGCTAGCAGTGTGGTTGTGTCTTGGCTCCCCCCTACCAAGCCCAACGGGGTGATCCGCAAGTACACCATCTTCTGTTCCAGCCCCGGGTCTGGGCAGCCGGTAAGTGAGTTCAGGGCCAGATGCTGAAGGGGATGGAAGGAGAGAAAAGGGACCCTGTAGATCAGCTGGCTTCCAGACCAAACTCTGAAGCTGCCTGTGTCTGAGCTTCTGCCTGGATTCATAGATAAGAATGGGGACTGGCCACCTAGAGTGGCCGAAGCCTTACTCAGTGTCCAGCTTGGGTCAGTCCTCTGTTCCAGAGGCTGCAAGATGGTCCCAAGCACTGGAGGCTCCTTTGAGTCAGGTGGGTCATGCCCAACCAGGCAGGGTGGAAGGGAGGTCAGCCTCAGCTCTCCTGCTCTGGCTCACAGAGGAAGCTCCCAGCAGGTCCCCAGACTGGTCTGTGGCCTCTGGGAATGAACCGTCTTTCAATGCGGTTGGTCTGGGCTTAGAGGAGCTGTTGGAGCTCTGCCCTGCATGAGCGCCTCCACATGGAGCAAGCTGAGGGAGAAGGAAAGATGGGGGAAAGCTGAGAGAAGGCACAGGCATCTCTGGGCCAGGGCCTGGGCTCAGGCAAGAGGAGAGAATTGAGAGTCTGCAGTATCTGCCCTAACCCTCGGAGCAGAGGGGGCAGCCCCCAGGCCAGACATAGGGCAGGGGGCTAGCCCCGCCCTTCCACTGATCCTGGGAGGGGCCCCACAGAGAGGGAAGGGAGGATGGGGATGGATGCAGGGGGATATGCACCTATATCCCATCATATGCATTTTTCCCTCTGCCTCTTTCATCATCTCCAGCCAGTCAACCACAAAGTCCTGCTGAATGACTACTATAGAGCATGCCTGTTCTAGGGATGGGAGCAGGAGCAGATACCTGCCCTCAAGGGGCTTCCAGTCTAGTGGAGGTGGGTGGCAGAGGGGAGCACACTAGAGGGGCAGGAGTACTCTCAGAAAGATATGCCCAGGGCTGGAAGCAAGGAGCAGAAGCAGGTGCAGGAGGACTGCTCCTCCCTCCATCAACAACTGGGCATCAGCCTGAGATCTGCAGATGAGCTTCTGGCCGCCAGGAAAGCTGCCCTGAAATTGCTCAGTAATTGTGTCATCATCTCCTCCTATACTCTCCGCTTTCCTGCGGTCTTTCTGAATTACCCTCTGAATGGTAGGTGGCCCAGCTCCCCGCCAGTGAGGCCAGAGTTCTATTACCAGAGGGGAAGCCCACTGACTGTGGCCCCTCCTCTCCATCCTCACAGCCACTACCTCACATGCGGCAAAGTGCACACACGTCATCACTGTACACCTCCGCGAATTTTCACAACCCACCCAAGCAGCAGCGCCCAGAGCACGGAACAGGACATTACAACACCCTGAATCCCCATGCCCCGCTCCAGTCCCCGCCTGCCCCTCCTCCCGGGGAACCATCATCCTGACCTCAATAGCATAGATTAGTGCTGCTTCTTTTTGTACTTTGTATAAATGGAGTCATACCATTTGTCCAGCTTCTTTTACCCAACATTATTTTGAATTCCTAAATTTCATTTGCAATGTTGTGTGTGGTTATAGCTCATTCATTCTTCTGTCTAGTTTTTGTGTGCATACGTTACAATTATCAATCCATTGTGCTAGCCATTAGTATCCATTGATGGAAGGCTTTGGGGCAGTTTTCAGTTTGGAACTCTTCAAATGGCGCTGCTGTGAACATTCCTGTGTGTGTCTCGGGGTGCTCATGGGCCTGGGTCTCTGTCAGGTGTGCACCTAGGAGAGGCAGCGCTAGGTCACAGGGTCTGCAGGTGTTCGCTGAGAACAGCCTGCCATTGTTGGGTGCTCATGCCAGTCACACCCCCACTCACAGGGGATAAGAGTTCCAGGGACTCCACATTGGTGCAGACACTTGGTGTTTTTCGGGCAATGCTTTCAGCCATGTGTTCTGCTGTTTTCCCGTCTCCCCTCGACTCTGCCACACACACACACACACATACACACACACACACACACACACACTCTCTCTAGGTTCTCAGGACACTGAGCTGTTCACAATTCTGGACAACACTGTGCCTCTTCACACCTCCACACCTTTGCCCCATGGGTTCCTCCCGTGGCGTGCTCCTCACCCCCGTCAGACGCTGAACACATTTGAAGGCAGTCACTGTTCATATATCTGTCTTCCACCCTGGTCTCTGAGGCCCCCATGAGGACAGGGGCAGCATCTTTTCATCTTTGGGCCCCAGAGGCTGAGCACTGTGCCTGGAACATCCTAGTCATGGAATACATGTTCCGTGAACAATGAATCAGTAGCAGCCTGGCAATTCTATAGCCTCAGATACTGGGCAAGCTTCCTTTCCTTAATTGGTGGGAAAGGGTAGTCATTCTCTAGCTTGGACTTTTGCAGTCATTTCCTCCTCTGATAATGAAGTCTTTCCAAGGGCTTGGTGTCCGGGAGCCACGCCTCCTCGCTAACTCAGGCTTCAGGGTTCCTCTCCTGGGCTCCAGAACAGAGCTCCTGGTTCCCTCCCCTCCTGCTGCTGCTGGAGACACTGGGACCCTCCCTCCATCTTCTTCATGTCTTGCGATTTCCCATCAGACAGTATCACACAAGTCCTGCTGATGTGATGAGAACTTCAGTTCAGCCCTGTAGGGGAACTGGGGGCAAAGGCTGGGGGAAAACTGAACTTAGTGAGGGTCCTGGGTACCTGGGGACCTAACCACTGTGTGTGACATGATCACTTTGCACAAATTATTCCAAATTCCAAACAAAGTCACAAACTCATTTATGAAAGACAGCTCTGGGAGAGGGTGCGAGGGATGAGGGCACACGTGTGTATCAATGACAGTGCAAAACCGTGGCATGAGCTTGGAGTCATAGGCAGATACCTGAGACTGTGTGTGCTCACACATGCTGGCAGGAGCGGATGAACCAGTACCTGTGGCATCCTCAGAAAAGACTGTGTATGGCCTTGACTCTAGGGGAGTTACCCCTGGGGACAGCCACAGCTGCATTGAATCCTGGTAGACATTTTACTAACAATATAATACATTTTTCACTGATTATAAAAATAATGCAATTTTATTATAGAAAATCTGTAAAACATATAAAAGAATAAAGAGGAAAGTAAAAATTACTTCTACTCTTACTTCCTACAGACAAACACTGGTGATGTTTTGGTATATAGTCTTCCAGTCTTTGACCTGTATATATAGTACAGGTTTTGAGGTGCTTCATTAAACCAAATTAAAATAATATCATAGATAATGTAATGCAATCTGCTTTTTTCATGGAATGCCTGTTGATGCTTTTCCTACACCCTCAGATACTCTTCTAAAACATTGTTTCGTGTGTGTGTGACAGAGCCCTGCTCTGTCGCCCAGGCTGGAGTGCAGTGGCACCATCTCGGCTCGCTGTAACCTCCACCTCCTGGGTTCAAGTGATTCTCCTGCCTCAGCCTCTCAGGCAGCTGAGATTACAGGCACACATCATCACGCCTGGCTAATATTTGTATTTTTGTAGAGGCAGGGTTTCACCATGCTGGCCAGGCTGGTCTTGAACTCCTGACCTCAGTGATCCGCCCACCTCGGCCTCCCAAAGTGCTGGGATTACAGGCATGAGCCACCACACCTGACCTAAAACATGATCTTGAATGGCTGTTTACAGAATCTATTTAACCAGTCTCCCATTATTCTATATTTAATGTGTCTTTCAAATTTTCACCATTATAAATTACGCTTCAATGAGCATCCTTCACAGAAGTCTTTATGCACATATTTTAATATTTTCTTAGGGTACATTTCCATAGGAATTCCTGGGTCACGAAGAGTGTAAATATTCTTAAAGTTCTGCATACAGATTTACAAATTGCCCTTCAGAGCATTTGCACCCATGTACGTTTCCACCAGCAGGGGGAGTGGCCAGCAGCATTGTCCTTTGCACCTATGCTGATCCTACATTTGTTTTCTGTTTTGTTCTGCTTAATTTTTGTTAGATGGGCTTTTTATAAATGTGCCTTATTTTAAAGTACCTTTCTTTGGTTACTAGTTAGGTTTTATATGTTTATTGGCTATATTTTTCTTCTTTGGGTAATTGTCAATTTACGTCCTTTGTCCAGATTTCTATTTGTGTTTCTCCTGTTTTTCTTATTGATTTATAAGTGTTCTTTACATATTAAGGATAACAGCCCTTTTCCGTCATATAAGTTGCAAGTTTCTGCCAATTCATTGCTTGCCTCTTGATTCTGGTTTTTGGTTTTGGTTGTTTGTTTTTGAGACAGAGCTTCACTCTTATTGCCCAGGCGGGAGTGCAATGGCATGATCTCAGCTCACTGCAGCTTCCACCTCCCAGGTTCAAGCAATTCTCCTGCCTCAGCCTCCCAAGTAGCTGGGATTATAGGCATGCGCCACCACCCCTGGCTAATTTTGTATTTACTATAGTAGAGAGGGGATTTCACCAAGTTAGTCAGGCTGGTCTCAAACTCCTGATCTCAGGTGATCTGCCTGCCTCAGCCTCCCACAGTGCTGGAATTACAGGCGTGAGCCAGTACGCCTGGCCTTTAGTTCTGTTTTTGATGTACCATAGTTTTTCTTTTTACAGAAGCTGAATTTATCAACCATTTCCATTTATGATTTTGCCTTGATTTTTATGATTAGAAAACTGGATAAATATTTACCTATAGTTTCTTCTTTCATAGCTTGCCTTTTTTAAAAACCTTTGATCCACTGGAACTGTATTTGGGGATATGGCTGTGTGCTTTTGACCATGATTTTAGGAGACTCATGCGGTATCCAGGTTAAAAAGAAAGCACCCAGGATCTGGGTTGGATGCTAATACCTACAAAGAGAAACCAGAATTTCTTTCCCTGCCTGTGTAGGCACAAATATATACTCAGTTATACACTGATGCACACAAGCATATACACTCAGCTGTTCTCCACACATGCACATGTACATAGAAACACGTACGTTCCTATACTGTCACCAAAAATGAGCCCAGAGAAGAACATGTCTTAGTTTACAAAGGACGTGCATACCCCTCCCTCCTTGTGCCTCAGTCACACACAGGTTGGGCAGAGTTGTATTACTTCCCTAGTTTACAAGAGAGAAAACTGAATGTCCAGAAACCATGGACAACCTTACGGGCTATATGCCCAGGGGAAGGGCAGGCAGGTGTTGAAGCCACTACGCCACCCCACACTTCAAGCACATATCAACTACAGATACGCACACCAGTCCCAGAGTGCTGTGGCCTGAAAAGGCTTCCCAACCACCAGGGCTCAAGGGTAGCTCTGCACCTGCCCCTCCCCGCGGACCTCCTGGATTCAAGGCCAGACCCCCACGAGGGAGGCAGGAGGAGTATGCCAGGGAGCTCCGTGTGTGTGTTGCAGAGACGCCTGTGCCTTTTCCCCTAACATTTCCCTGCAGATTTCCTGGGGCCAAAAAGGATGCCTCCTCCTGTTATAAGTTATTGGGCCTCTCAGCCCCTCTATGGGGCATTAAGAATGTCCCTCTGTGCCCATACATGCCTGGAGGTCTGTTCCTCAGCACGTGTGTGCATGCGTCTACATGTGTGCGCGCCTGTGACCGTGTGTGCGCAAGATCCCATGACTGCAGAGATAACTAATTATTAGCTCCCTCTGGCCTCGGGCCCCCATCTGTCCTGGGGCTGCTCCCCCTCCCTGGACTTCCATTCTGATTTCAAAGGGGCCGTGGTGCTGTCCTCCTCTCCCTTCCCCGCGGCTGACCAAAAAATAAAATAAAATGAAAGTCAGCCCCATCCCGCCCGTGCCAGGGAAGAGGCTGACAGGAGGTCTGCAAACTAGCGCTTATCAAAAGCTCCTTCTCAAATTCATTTCAATATCTGAGCCTCTGGTTTCCAAGGCAACATAATCTTTTCATCAAAGCAACTGGTAAAACCACTGGGATCCGATATTGTTTTGTTGGCAACTTGTCAAAACTATCATTTTGTTTAAAAAAAATTTATAGATTTGTATAACCTACAAATATATATATGGTGATCTATACCACTAATAATCATTAATAAAGTGCTGCCCAGTAAAGCTTTCATAGTTCCCTCTCCCGCCCCCCCCTCCCTGGACGGGTGGGCATGCTGCCTGCAAAATGCAGGAGTGGTAATTAGACGGCAGGACTAGGAGGTGACTGGGAGCCAGGGCAGGCTGCAGGAGCCTGTCTCCAACCTTCATCAGGCAGAGGCAGTCATTTGGTTTCTTCCTGAAGACTCTTTCCTCAGGGCTTTCCTGGGAACCCCTGTCCCCCATTCTCCCTTCTCCTGGCTACCCCATCCCTCACCTAAATCACTCACATCCCCTGTCCTGAGCCACAGTTGCCAGAGCCTGGATCAGTTAAAGAGGTAAACTGAGGCTGACCCAGCAACACCACGAGGCAGGCCCATCAGCTCCCAAGGGCCAAGCCCAGGGCACACTCTCCGCTGCATCTCCAAAACTTGGAAAGGGCAAATAGGACAGAATCCTGCCTGCCACCTGACCCCACCATCCTCTCCTCTGAGCCCCAGGCACTGAGGAAGATTCAGAGGCTGGAGGGCCCCAGTTCTGCTTCTTAGAGCTTCTTTGCCTCTGCCCCGCAGGCTCCCAGCGAGTACGAGACGAGTCCAGAGCAGCTCTTCTACCGGATCGCCCACCTAAACCGTGGTCAGCAGTATCTGCTATGGGTGGCCGCCGTCACCTCTGCCGGCCGGGGCAACAGCAGCGAGAAGGTGACCATCGAGCCTGCTGGCAAGGGTGAGAAGCCTGAGGCTGGGGCAAAGGGGCAAACACTTCCAAAAGCTCCCTTCCAGAATCCTGGTTCTCCTCACACAGGGGCTCTGCCTGCTCCGCTCTATCTGCGACCCGACTGTGAGGAACTGGCCACTCGCCTGCCTCCTGGATACACCAAGACTGGGCCTCTGCTGCCCCCTGACTCCAGCAAAGCCTCACAACAGGCTGCAGCCAGCTCTTGCCTGGGGCGGGTGGACAGGGTGCACTCAGTTCCTGACTCCAAACCCTACTCCCCCAACTTGAAAAACGGGGAGTCGCCTCTACCTCCAATTGAAAACCGGGCCTTTGTCCCAGTGCTCAGCTCCTCCAGAGGTGGCTACAGCAGGGTGTGCTGCTTCCACAGAGCAGTCGAGGCTCAAAGGAGAGCCCCCGAGCTGAACCGGACACCCGGCAGGAGTGGTTCCAGCGGTGGCGGATTGCTGCGATCCACAGACCTTCACAGATCCCATGCTGTGAAGGAGGCTCTGGGCTAGAATCAGACCCTCTTAGGGAGTGCCCCACTGAATCTCTGACCGGACATGAGTGTGCCATGGGGGATGTACCCCCACTTTTCAGAGGAATGACACTTCCAAGGCCTCATCCCCAGGGCAAGCTGCAGCAGCTGCACAGGTAGAGCTGCAAGGCTGAGCGTCTGTCCCGTCCCTGGGGCGTAGGAACTGGCCACAACTAGCCTAGGACCACAGGTCTACTTGCCGCTGGGCCTCCCTGGGCCCCTCCTCACTCCCCCACTCTCTTACCCACCGCAGCCCAGACGAGAGGAGGTGGTGCCTGCGCAGCCTGGCCACCCTACCAGGGCAACTCAAGCTTCTCTTGACCCAAACACAAGAGCCCCAGCCCCTACCCTGCCACGGGCTTAGCCAGCCAGCATCTGATCGAGGGCCTACGGTGGGCCAGGGGCTTCCACCTGCCCTGCCAGCAGGGCTTGTTGACCCATTCCACAGCTGAGCAACCTGAGGCAGGAGTGGCATGGGCTGAAAAGACAGCCAGGAAGGAGTGAGCTAGCTCTTCCAGCTCCAAGCCAGGGCTCTTTCCACGCAGCCTCAGGGCCTCCTACAACCCCCTTACCCCTACCACCACCCTCTTCAGAAAGGGAAGGGGCCTAAAGCCTATCACCTTTCCAGAACAGCTGGCACTGGCCCAGAGGCAGGAGTGTGAGGGCTGGACATCTTTGCAGAAGGCTGGCCCCTTCTCCTGGGGGCATTAAACAAACACGGTCCTAGAGAGCTGTGGACTTCCTAGAACACATTTACACAGCGTCACCTCACAGCTGCCCTGTGAGCTGAGAAAGACAACCATTGTTGTCCCCTTCCCCCATACACACACACACGTGCACACACACACTGCACACTCACATACATATGCACATGCATGAACACACGCATATGCACACACACTTATACACACAGACCTGCACACTCACACACTTATGCACATACACACACTAATGTGCGTACACGTACACACTATGCAGTAATACATGTACATACATGCACACACATGCACACATGCACACACACAATACACACTAATACATGCACACATATGCACACATGTATACATGTGCGCACACTATACACACCAATACATGCACACACATGCATACACACGCACACACATACACACTAATACATGCATACACATGCACCCACACATATACACACGCACACACAGTATACACTAATACATGCACACACATACACACGTGCACACACTATACACACTAATGCATACACACATGCACATGCACATACACACGTGCACACACAGTATACACTCTAATACATGCACACACATATGCACACGCATATACACACATGCACACACTATACACACATGCATGCACACACGCACATGCATACACACATACACACACTATACACACTAATATATGCACACACATATGCACACACATATACACACATGCACACACTATATACTCTAATACATGCACACACATGCACATGCATATACACACACGCACACACAGTATACACTAATACATGCACACACACACACGCATATACACACGTGCACACACTATACACACTAATACATGCACACACATGCACATACACATACACACATGTATACACGTGCACATTCACATATGCACATACACACTAACACATGCACACTCGCATGTGCACACACACACGCATATGCACACACATATACACTAACGCATGCATATGCACACACATGCAGATGCACATACACGCACACACACCCTGAGACACACAGAGATTCAGGGAGCCAACCCCAGCCTGTGGCAAAACCAGGTCTGGAAGCTGATCTCTGGAGAAACTCGGAGAACCTCCACAAAGGCCCCAGGCTTCTCATTGCCCGCCCCTGGAGGCCGTCTTCATGTGGACCCCTCTGCCGGGCCTGTCCGGTGCCCCTACTGCTCCAAGCAGACCCCAGAACTCCCCTTCTCTCAGAGCTCCTTGGCACCCGGCACTACCAGCACAGGAGCCCAGCCCCTACGTCCTGCACCTGAACCTCTCAGCTGCTTCCTCACTCTCACTCTCCCTCTCCCTCCACCCAAGAAGGGCCCCAGCTCCATGGGCCTGCTCTACTCTCTGAGGCACTTGGGCACTTGGTTCCTTTAAATCTGGGCCTGGCGATCTCTCGGGCACTAGATGCATTTACCTACCCACCACACTCTGGGCACCTGTGGCCCTGCACTTTCTGTGATGCTGCTGACCCAGTCCTCTGCAGCCACCCTCGGGGCACTCCCGTCCTCTCCTCTCTGCCTGTGCATACTGATCCTAGAGTTGGTCACTTCCCTGTCAGTCTGCATCCCCTCCTGTGGCCTCATCACGCCTGCTGACTCCCAGATCAGCGTCTTTGGTCCAGGCATCTCTCTGGCTCTCCAGAACACGCACCCGCCTGAGGTCTAGCTACAGCTGTGGCTGCACTGTGGACTCAGTACGAGGTGAAGCCATCTGGGCCTTCCTGTCAAGCCTGCCCCTCCTCCAGTGTGCCCTGTTCCCATGAGGGTGCCATCACTCACCTCCGTGGCCCAGCCAGAATCCTGGGAGCCATCCTCCCCTCCCCACTCTTTTCCCCCAAAGTAGCGAGACCCCAAGTTTTGTCAGCTCTTGCTCTGAGCCCCTCATCTCCCCACTGCCACACATCACCTCCAGCCTGCATTCTGGCCACCATCCTGTCATGGTCTATGTCCTCTGGGACCCCCCTCCACCAAACTATCCTCTGCAAGCAGCCTGGATGCATCTGAAATCAGCTGAGGACACCACTCCTTCTTTTTTTTTTTTTTTTTTTGAGACAGTCTTCCTCTGTCACCAGCCTAGAGTGCAGTGGCATGATCTTGGCTCACTACAACCTCCGCCTCCCAGGTTCAAGCGATTCTCTCGCCTCAGCCTCCCGAGTAGCTGGGATTACAGGCACCTGCCATCGTGCCTGGCTAATTTTTGTATTTTTAGTAGACAGACAGGGTTTCAACATGTTTGCCAGGCTGGTCTTGAACTTCTGACCTCAACCTCAGGTGATCCGCCTGTCACAGCCTCCCAAAGTGCTGGGATTACAGGCGTGAGCCACCGCGCCTGGCCGACACCACTTCTTATAACCCTCTGGTGGTGGCTGTCTAAGAGGAAGTCCAACCTCCTGGCCCTGCCAACAAAGCCCCCAAGATTCTACTCCTGCCCGTGCCCTTGGACTCAAGCTTTGGTTCCCCCAGGGTATTTGCAAACCCTCACACCTGCCGTGAGCTTCAGGTCTCCATGTCCCTGCTCAGTGCTGTTCCCTTTCCCTGACATACGTTTCCTTCCCTGCATATAAAGTCTTTCTTAGCCTTCAAGTGAGAGCTTCCTATTCCAGATGCTGTTCCTGGCCATCACTTCCACCGCCCACTTATCAAGCAGCATTCAAATTCCCCCTGCCTCGCACCCCTGGGCTTCTTCGTGCCTGCACCTACCATAGCATTTTGCCCCTGTTATAATTTTTCCTTAAGCATCTGTCTCCCTCTTTGACGGTGATCAACATGAGGACAGGGAATAAATCATACTCATTTTTTGAATCCTCAGAGCCTCATGCCATCCTGACCATAACTGGTATTTCATCAATGTTTCTTGAGTCAACGTCTCCCAGCCAATATTCGCTGACACCCATCCCTTACCAAAAGCCCAAGGTGGAAGTCAGATCTGGGAGGGAGGATTTGAACTGTAAATCCAGGGAGCCCTGAGGAAGGAGGCAAGGATATTGTGCAGGGGTAGAAGTGGCGTGGCTCTCATCCTCTCCTCCCTGTAGCCCCAGCAAAAATAATCTCCTTTGGGGGCACCGTGACGACACCTTGGATGAAAGATGTTCGGCTGCCTTGCAATTCAGTGGGAGATCCAGCCCCTGCCGTGAAGTGGACCAAGGACAGGTGTGTGTCGGGACTGTGGAGGGATGGGGTGGCCCCAAAGAGGGATACAGTAGAAGAGGTGTGAGGAGGAGAGTCTGGGGCCCTCCTTCCTGGTGACCCGGTTGCCTCCAGGCCCTGTGGAGGCCCTGCAGGGTGTACTGCTACTGCTCTCTCAAGCAGGCCTGGCCTCCTGGCTCCCCTCTTGGGAGCCAAGGACCTCCCTTCCCCGGATGGTTAAAGAGGCCGGGTTACCTCATACCCCCAGGGAGTGCTGAGCAAAGCCCCAAGAACCCAGCGTCCCCTGGCAAGCCTCCTTCCACTCCCAGCATTCTTTGCCACACACCGGGGGGAGGGCCTCAGGACGAAGGGGTGCTTGACATGACCAACCCGCCCCATCCTCGCCCCCGGCAGTGAAGACTCAGCCATTCCGGTGTCCATGGACGGGCACCGGCTCATCCACACCAACGGCACACTGCTGCTGCGTGCAGTGAAGGCTGAGGACTCTGGCTACTACACCTGCACGGCCACCAACACCGGTGGCTTTGATACCATCATCGTCAACCTTCTGGTGCAAGGTGAGGCTCTGTGAGGCAGGTGGCCCCTGGTGGGGACAGGGATGGAGAAAGGGTAGGAATTCCATCACGTGAGAATGTCATCGAATAGAAGAAGATAAATCAAGGGAGAGATAGACCTTTGGGGGAACAGAGGTGCATGTGGAAGGGGAGGCAGGAGAGCTGGGGAGTGGGAGTGAGGGTGTGGGAGAGCCAGCACCTTCCCGTCATGGGGGGAGCCCCACACCGCGTCACAGGGTCCACCCTTGTGCTAAGGGGTGGTGACTTTCCCCTCACAGTTCCCCCGGACCAGCCACGCCTCACTGTCTCCAAAACCTCAGCTTCATCCATCACCCTGACCTGGATTCCAGGTGACAATGGGGGCAGCTCCATTCGAGGTGAGGAGTGGTCTGGATGAGGGGGGAAGACAGGGGAAGGAATTCTGGGCCTGGGGCAGGGAAGGGGCTTCACCCACTTCTGCCGTTTGTCTCCAAATGGCAGAAATGATCTGGGGGCCAAGTGACCCACAAGGAAGTCATTCAAGTGCCAAGGGAACTGCAATGGCCCAGGCAACTGGGATTTAGTACGCCTGCCCCTCCAATGCCACTTGTGAGCTGTGTGACCCTGGAGTAGCCTGTTTCCCTCTCTGTCTGGGTTTCCCAATCTGTCAAAGTAGACAAATGGACTAGATCAGTGCTTTCCAAGCATGAGTGTGCGTCTGCGTCACCAAGCGGCCTTGTAACAATGCAGCTCTGACTCAGCGCTCTGGACTGGGGCTGAGGACCTGCCTTTCTAACAGGCTCCAGGTGCTGCTGAGCCTGCTGCTCAGGGGGCCATGCGTGAAGTAGTGAGGGTCTAGACAGGACCCTTTGCGAGCCTCACAACTCTGGTTTTCTCCACTCCCGACCTGGGCCACTAACCCCTAACACTAGAGCCAAAGTGACAGCGTCAAACCCGCCAAGGGGCTGGACCCAAGGCCCTTACAGTGTTTTGTTGATTGGTTGGTTTAATACAGAGAGTTGACTGGGGCTGGTCTTTCCAATTTTGCTTCTAAGGAGCATATGCCTATTCCAATGACCAAAGGCCTGACTCTGCCCCCTCCCTGGAGCCCAGCCCCCCTATTGGGGTACCCAAGGCTGGGCTTCTGTTGCCCTGCCCTGCCCTGCCCCCACCTGAATCAGGTCTACCCTCCACAGGCTTCGTGCTACAGTACTCGGTGGACAACAGCGAGGAGTGGAAGGACGTGTTCATCAGCTCCAGCGAGCGCTCCTTCAAGCTGGATAGCCTCAAGTGTGGCACATGGTACAAGGTGAAGTTGGCAGCCAAGAACAGTGTGGGCTCTGGGCGCATCAGCGAGATCATCGAGGCCAAGACCCACGGGCGGGGTGAGGCCCAGGCCGCCAGGGCAGGGAAGGAGTGACGGGCCCAGGGAGGGTGGGGTAGAGGGGCCGGGTATGGGGTGGAAGGTGGCTGGGTGGGGAAGGAGGGGTCCAGGGATGCAGGGAGCCTGAAGGGAGGAGTCTCAGCCTCCTTCCCATCACCACAGCATCCCAATAGATCCCATTAGGAAAAACTAGTTCCACTTCCCCACTGGGTGGCTGAAGGTGGCACTCCTTTGCCTCTTCCTGGCTCCCTTCCTCCTCTGCTGAGGCCTCTCTCCAGGCCCTGCCCTTTTCTTCCCTTTCCTCCCTCCCCTCCTCTTCCTCCTCTGCCCCCTGGGGCTTCCCCACCTGACCTGTGCCAAACATGTATTCTGGAGCTACTGCCATCCCAGCTGCCCCAGGGAAATCCTTTCCAGCTCAGCCCAGTCCTGCCTCCCCCCGAGTCTCTCTAACCCCTCTCTCTCTCCCTCCGGCCTGCCAGAGCCCTCCTTCAGCAAAGACCAACACCTCTTCACCCACATCAACTCCACGCATGCTCGGCTTAACCTGCAGGGCTGGAACAACGGGGGCTGCCCTATCACAGCCATCGTTCTGGAGTATCGGCCCAAGGGGACCTGGGCCTGGCAGGGCCTCCGGGCCAACAGCTCTGGGGAGGTGTTCCTGACGGAACTGCGAGAGGCCACATGGTACGAGCTGCGCATGAGGGCTTGCAACAGCGCTGGCTGCGGCAATGAAACGGCCCAGTTCGCCACCCTGGACTACGATGGCAGTGAGTCGCAAGGGTGGGAGGGATGGCACAGAGGCTGGAGCAGGGTAGTGCGAAGGAAGTGGGCAGAGTGGCAGATACATAAAGAGACAGACCAATAGAAAAACAGGCAGGGATGCAGGTGGGGGAAATGCTGGCCCACAGGCAAAAGGGCTGACAAAGGGAACATCAGGTTGGTTGCAGCCAGGTAAGTGGGCAATGCACCAATGGCCACTACAGATGGACAGATACATAGGTCAGTAATACCAAAGATGGAGAGTCTTTGAAGCTGCAGTCCTCAATCACTGTGCATTGTTTCAGGGAGGTGACGAGGGAGGTAGAGGTGTGGTTGAGGTCCTGACCCCTAAGAACTTTCTGCTGATATGGAATATTAGCCAGGAGGGAACAGCCTATGCTACAGTCGCAAATACCAAAGCCTAGTGGCTTAACCCTGTACTGATTTGTTTCTTGCTGTCTTGGAGTCCTGTGAAGGTTGAGTGGCCACCATGTTTTTGAACAGGGAGCCTCCGAAATCCACAGAAAAGGCATACTACCAGTTCCTAAGTGCCTTGGCCAGCAGGTGGCCTCTGCCACATAGGGATACATATACACATACACATGCACACATACACATACACACACATACACACACACATCCATTGAAGGAACATGGAAGGCTGCATTCATAGAAGCCCATTGTCACAAGTCTACCTATGTGTTAAGGAAACAGAACAAAAGCAGTATCAGAAGGGGATGAACTCAAGCAAGGAAGGCTTCATGAAGGAGGTGACTCTTAAGCAAAGCTCTGAAACAGGCAAGGATCAGGGCTTGGCAGAGGGTTATGTCAGCAGGAAAACTTGTCATGTTTCCCTGCAGGAGACCCAGGTTAACAGATATGGCCCCCAGGAGGGGTGAGCAGGGGGAGAATGTAGGGTTTGTAGTGGTTTTTGTCCCCATCTGGGAAAGAGAACCCAGGGTCCGCTGCCCTGACTTCTTCCTACCATGCTTCACTCTTGGTTCTCCCCATCCCAGCTGGATATGAGAATTTAAACCCATCAATCCACTCTCAAGGAATGAGCACTGAACTCCAACAGGCAAGAGACTAACTCCAGGAGACTTCAGGCTAATTCTACAACAGTACCAGGAAGTCGTTAATATAATGCAGTATAAAAATGACACAACTGTTCATGGCTGTCCTGATAGGACCAGAATTTGGGGAGCAGAGGGGAAGGCCAGGGCTCTGTGCCAGGAGGTGGAGGTCAGAGCCCAAGGTCAGCAAGAGAGGTCAGAGGTCTGCCTCACCCAAGAGATGCTCTGCACAGCACCTGGCTCATAAGGGACATCTAATTCTATTCTTTGCCCTCATTCAGGCACCATTCCACCCATCAAGTCTGCTCAAGGTGAAGGGGACGACGTGAAGAAGCTATTCACCATCGGCTGCCCTGTCATCCTGGCCACACTGGGGGTGGCACTGCTCTTCATTGTACGCAAGAAGAGGAAGGAGAAGCGGCTGAAGCGACTCCGAGGTGGGGGAGCTTCCTATGGGCCTTCCAGGAGGGGGTGTTGGCTCTCAGCCACGTTGTCCCCACTTCACTGGCTCACAGCACCATCTGGATGATACAGAGTGCCTGTGTCCTCTTGAAGGAGGAGTGGTCACTCCAACTTTCTGAAACCTCCTTAGTTCAGAAGGTTTCATTCACCACTTCCTCCTCTATGCCCCCAAGACTTTGTGCCTGCCCCAGTCAGGGCTAATATTTAGAGGTACACACTGGTTAAAGCCATGTTGGTTGTTAAATATTTAAACATTTCCATGTTGGTTGGTAAACAGATGTTGCTCCTTTCCACACTGGATGCTCCATCCCCTCTCACAGGATCCCTGCAACTTTCCTAGGACCCATCCACTAAAGAATAGACCTGCAGGTAGCCTCTAGTACAATGCTCAGTTCTAACTGGGCAGTTTCTGCACCATGTCAGGTGTTAAATATTTTGAATATTATCCCCTTTTTCCATTACCTGATGCCACAGTCTACTGTGAATGGGTCTGATTTACCTCAATTTTCCCATGGCCTAATACAGTGTCTGGCACCTACTAGTTGCTTCACAAATATGCTTTCACTTATTTGGAAAACTTTTATTGAGTCTGCTTCATCATAGATATTGCAAGACTATAGAGATCAATAAAAAACAGCAAAGCCATACTCTTACAGAGATTATCATCTAATGTGAGAAGCCAGGAAACAATAGTAGCACAGAAAAGAGAATGATTAATGCTCCCTATTGTGTTCAGGAATTGGGTAAATGGATGAACAGATGGTTCAATGGATGGTTGATGATTGGATGGATGGATGGATGGATGGATGACCGGGTGGATAATTGAATGACTAGATGGGTGAGTAGTTACATGGTTGGATGGTTGAATGGATCACTGAATAAATGGTTGAATAGAAGGATGTATAGATGGAAGGATGGTTGGATGGCTAAATAGATGGCTGGGTGTAAGGATGGTTGAATAAAAGGTTGAATGAATAGATGGGTGGATGGATTGTTGAATGGCTAGATAATGATTATATGAATAGTTGAACAGATGGGTAGATGATTGAACAGATGCTTGGATGGACAGATGACTATTCTGATAGATTGATGGATGACAAGTTGGATGGATGGCTGGATGGAAAAACAATTGGAATTGTGGGATGATTGGGTGAATGGTTAAAGGAGTGGTTGGATGGAAGATTTAATATATAAATATAAGAATGATTGAATGGATGTTGAATGCATGGGTGGATGGTTGAATGGATTACTGGTTGAATCAATGGGTAGATGGATGGACAGATGGATGGTTGAATAGGTGGATGATGAATTAATGGTTGGTTGGATGGATGAATGGATAATTGGATGGTAGATGGTTAGATGGATGGATGGCTAGATCAATGAATAAATGGATGGATGGATGGATCAATGATTGGGTGAATGGATAGCTAGATAATTGGATGGTTGGATGCATGCATACAACTATTGGGATTCATTCTGACAGCTCATTCTCAGGTATCAGGGGTCTAATAAATTAAGTAGGCCCTTTAATTCTCTCTTCCAAATTCCTAACCTGAGAGTCCTGATCCTATTCAAGGCTCCTCTGAGACAAAGAATGGGCCCCAAAATCCATCCATGGACTTTTTGGGGACAGAGTCCCCAGAGGAGGAAGTGAAGCCTCTTGGTTGATATGAGAGTTTAATAATCTGAGGCTTCCTATTGACCACCTCTACCACATCCTCTCCTCTCCCCAAGATATAACTGAGGATAAACTTTCCACTGATATCCATTTCCAGCCTGTTATGGTGTCATGTTTAAGTAGAGTCAATTCATGAAGCAGATGGGGCACTTGCTATGCCCCCCTGTGCTTTGGGAAGGATCTCTCGATTAGATAAAATCTGAAGAAAGGAAAACAGACTTGAGCCAAATCCTGAATTGGGAGCAGTGAAACTGCGTCAAGTTTTAGGCTGTTTTGTAGGTCCTTACATTTCTCCTTCTGCTTCTTAGGAGACCAGCCCTGGCCCCATTTTAAGGAATTCTCCACCTTGTTTCCCATGCCTCTCCCATTGTCATCCTGTTCAAACTTCATTCTCACCCAGCCCTCCTCTCCCTCTACTGTTTTGCAGATGCAAAGAGTTTGGCAGAAATGTTGATAAGGTGGGTATCACCAAGCTGCTTCCTTTTTCCTCCCTTCTCCCCTCTCCCCTGAGGAGGACTCAGGAGCCTCGCTCTGAACTCCCAGAATAGGAGACAGGCTTCTAAGATCCCACTGTCCTGCAAAGCCCCCTCCCCCAACCCCTTATGGCTGCTGAGCCACCCACCTCGTCTTTCTCCCCACAGCAAGAACAATAGAAGCTTTGACACCCCTGTGAAAGGGCCACCCCAGGGCCCACGGCTACATATTGACATCCCCAGGGTCCAGCTGCTCATTGAGGACAAAGAAGGCATCAAGCAGCTGGGTGAGTGACAGGTGCCACAAGCTCCCTGTCATGCTGGATGTGCTTCCCCAGGCTACAATCCATGGAAGTCAAACACCGGCCCTCATGGCAGTGCCCAGGGTTCTGGCAGTAGCCCCATCAACCACTCAACAACCTTAGAACTCATTGTGGCTTCTCTCAAGGGCTAAGTTTCCTCCTCTGTCCAACGGAGGGAATTGCTGGCCTTTCTGTGACTCAACATTGGATAAAGCCTGGGTGTGGTGGATCATGCCTGTTATCCCAGCACTTTGGGAGCCCAAGGAGGAAGGATCACTTGAGGCCAAAAGTTTGAGACCAGCCTGGGCAACATAGTGAGATCCCATTTCTACCACACAAAAAAATAGCCAGGCATGGTGACACATCCTGTAGTCTCAACTACTTGGGAGGTTGAGGTAGGAGGATAGCTTGAGTCCAGGAAATTGAGGTGGCTGCAGTGAGCAATGATCACAATTAAGCCTGGGCAACAGAGTGAGACCCTGTCTCAAAAAAACAAACAAACAAATCCACAAACAAAAAACACATTGGATAAAGACAAAGAGAAATTCAGTCACATCCAACAGAGCTTTAAAAAACAATTGTCAAGGACTCATGGTAATTGTCCTTCTTTCCCCAGGAGATGACAAGGCCACCATCCCTGTGACAGATGCTGAGTTCAGCCAAGCTGTCAACCCACAGAGTTTCTGTACTGGCGTCTCCTTGCACCACCCAGCCCTCATCCAGAGCACAGGACCCCTCATCGACATGTCTGACATCCGGCCAGGAACCAGTATGCATTATCCCCAGGGAGACAGCCGTCTTCCCACCCAGGGTGCCTTGGGCATAGCGTGACAGAGGTGGTGTTTTTTCTAAAGGGAGGAGGGAGCATAATGGAATAGAATGAAAAAATGGAAAGCACTGGAATTAGCGCCTGGAGACCTCGATTGCAGATTTACTAACTGTGACCTTGGGTCTACCACTAACTTTATCTCTCTGGGCCTGTTTCCTTACGTAGAAATTTTGAGAGTATTGGGTATTTGAGTTCTCCAAGGGTCTTTCTATCTCTAGCACTGTGTATCTGGACATAGGAGAGAACACATCAAGGACTGTAGGGAATGAATGGACAGTCAGGAGGCAGCAGGAAAGGACATCACATTCTCCCCCAGGTGGAAGGAAAAGATGGGGTGGGAGGGGAGAATGCCCTCCACTGCCCCCACGCCTTGACTCAATTGCTCTTCTCCTCTGGGGACAGCGATGTGGTTAGGAAAGGCAGCATTCCCAAGGGAGCTTCTGTGGCTGTGTCTGCCTCTTCCCTTGCTCCCCCTTGCCCTTTCTGGTAAGTGCCAGCTGCCCAAGCCTGGGTGTCTGTGGTTGGAGGATGCAATTTCTTGCTTCTGTCTGTGCAGATCCAGTATCCAGGAAGAATGTAAAGTCAGCCCACAGCACCCGGAACCGGTACTCAAGCCAGTGGACCCTGACCAAGTGCCAGGCCTCCACACCTGCTCGCACCCTCACCTCTGACTGGCGCACTGTGGGCTCCCAGCATGGTGTCACCGTCACTGAGAGTGACAGCTACAGCGCCAGCCTGTCCCAGGACACAGGTGTGCCTAAGGCCCTGCTGGCATCCTGAACACCTCCCCACAGTTCCCCATCATTCACCTTCACCTTCTATTCTTCCAGCTTCTACCCACCAGCTCATGGGGCCAAGGCACAAGTCAGTTTCATGTCTAGCTGGTCACTGACCCACTGTGCAGCTGGGACAAAAACACTTGACGTCACTGACCTCTACTTGGTCAGGGAGTTAATGTTGCTTTCCCAAAAATTGTCAGAGAAACTGGTACACATGATGTTCACTGGCAAAAGGGCTGAATGTTCCAGGGGATGGTTGCTTATTTTCTTTTTTTTTTTGAGGCGGAGTCTCGCTCTGTCGCCCAGGCTGGAGTGCAGTGGCCGGATCTTGGCTCACTGCAAGCTCCGCCTCCTGGGTTTACGCCATTCTCCTGCCTCAGCCTCCCGAGTAGCTGGGACTACAGGCGCCCGCCACCTCACCCGGCTAGTTTTTTTGTATTTTTTAGTAGAGACGGGGTTTCACCGTGTTAGCCAAGATGGTCTCGATCTCCTGACCTCGTGATCCGCCCGTCTCGGCCTCCCAAAGTGCTGGGATTATAGGCTTGAGCCACCGCGCCCGGCCGCTTATATTCAAGAATGAAAGATGTTCTGCCCTTCATGAGTCAAAGTTCCTACTTCTGCCACCACTGCCACCTTCACAGGATCTCCTCAGCCTGGTGTCCTCCATGACCAGACTTCCAGACGGCTGCTGGGGTTACGGGCAGGGGAAGTGCTCAGTCAGTCTCACTTATACCCTTCTCCCCATATCCTACTCCTGTCCTCTTAACTCCCCAGACAAAGGAAGGAACAGCATGGTGTCCACTGAGAGCGCCTCTTCCACCTACGAGGAGCTGGCCCGGGCCTACGAACATGCCAAGCTGGAGGAGCAGCTGCAGCACGCCAAGTTTGAGATCACCGAGTGCTTCATCTCTGACAGTTCCTCTGACCAGATGACCACAGGCACCAACGAGAACGCCGACAGCATGACGTCCATGAGCACACCCTCAGAGCCTGGCATCTGCCGCTTTACCGCCTCACCACCCAAGCCCCAGGATGCGGACCGGGGCAAAAACGTGGCTGTGCCCATCCCTCACCGGGCCAACAAGAGTGAGTGCTCAGACCACCTCCCAGGCAGTGTCCCCTGCCCCCTGGTCCCAGCTCCATGAGCCCTGGCTAGATCTAGTCCTACCAGTACCAGGATCCTGCCAGCCCAGCTTGGCTCCTTGGCAGTGCAGGGTGGTACCAACAGCAAGGACTTGGGAGCAAGGAAGGTCAGGGCCCACATCCTGGCTCAACCTCTTCCTGGGTCTGTGGCCTTAAGTTTCTCATTTGTAAAATGCCAATGATAGTATCTACATTGCATTGTTGTGATGGCTATTAGAAATGATATACATCCCCAGCATGTCGTAAGGCCTCATTCATTCAGTAGTGAGCATCCCCTTTATCTGAAGCTGTGCCAGGATGGAAACAGATCCCTTCAGGGTCAGCTGCCCAAGGGTCTCTGGTCTCAATGCTGTTTGAATTTAATCCAGACCCAATCGATCAGTCCTGGCAGCTCCGCCCACCATGGTCATACCTCTTGGTAGGCAGTGACCTGGCCTGGCTGGGAACCACCTGACCCCAGGGGCCTGACCAGAGCCTATGCCCTTAGAGGCTGGCAGGGCAGGGCTAGGATCAGCAGGGGGAGTCTATCAGCAGATGCTGGGGTCACAGCATGCAAAGCCGAGACTATCAAACAATGCAGTGTGGTCTGCTTAGCACTAGCCATGCTAACTGAGGCAGGGGCAGGGCTCTCTGGGTCATGGAAAGAGCCTGGAGCAATGGAAAGACTTTGGAGACTGTGGCCCTGAATGACACCCCCACCCCTTTTGGCTGTGCAAATTTAGGCAAATGATTTCATCTCTCTGAACCTCAGTTTCCTCACTTGTAAATACAGGCAGGTATTAACCAATCCTGGGGGCTGTCGTGAGGATTCAATAAGAAAATCTAAGGAAAGTGCCTGGCCCAGCTCCCCCGGGGAAAGAGGCCCATTTGCAGGCAGGGTACCCATGGAGCACGGGGGGTCAGGCAATAGAGGTCTTAGAAGCATGTCACATGGAGGCAGTTTAAGAAATTACTAGGTTGGGTGTGGCTGCTCACGCCTATAACCCTAGCACTTTGGGAAGCCAAGGCAGGCTGATCACCTGAGGTCAGGAGTTCTAGACCAGCCTGGCCAACATGGCAAAACCCCATCTCTACTAAAAGATACAGAAATTAGCTGGGCATGGTGGCACATGCCTGTAATCCTAGCTACTCAGGAAGCGGAGGTTGCAGTCAGCTGAGATCGTGCCGCTGCACTCCAGCCTGGATGACAGAGCGACACTCTGTCTCAAAAAAAAAATTAGGAACTTTCCACCTGCAGAAGAGGCGACCAAGTGGGAGGAGAGAGGACATGTAGCTGATTTCAAACATCTGGAAGGCCGCCATGGGAAAGAGGGGGACGCCTCACTCTGTGAGACCTCAGAGGACAGAACCAGGCTCCATGGTGGGGAGGCGACAGGGAATGATATTCCTTTCCTCCTCAGGGTAAAGAAAAGCTTTCCACCAGCCAGAGCCGTTAGGACATCCTTGTCCTTAGCAGTAGTGAGCTCTCCACTACCGGAAGCTGACCAGCCTCTAGTGACCATTGAACAACAAGCATCCATGTATTGGGCAGCTGTTATCTGCAGCAGCCACTGTAGCAAAGCACTTTACCTACCTCATCTCATTCGCCCCTCACAATAATCCTGTGGGGAAGTAAGATCATCCCCATTTCACAGATAAGGAAATGAAGGTCAGAAAGGCCAAGCACCCCACCTTTCCGCTACTCTTTATTGCCCCCCAGTGGAGGGGCCCCTGTGCCAGGTCAGAGAGAAGACGGGGGGCAGGCGATGGGGTGAGGGCTGAATGAGCCTCTGCCTCTAACATCCTCTGCCTCTGTGATTCCAGGTGACTACTGCAACCTGCCCCTGTATGCCAAGTCAGAGGCCTTCTTTCGAAAGGCAGATGGACGTGAGCCCTGCCCCGTGGTCCCACCCCGTGAGGCCTCCATCCGGAACCTGGCTCGAACCTACCACACCCAGGCTCGCCACCTGACCCTGGACCCTGCCAGCAAGCCCTTGGGCCTCCCCCACCCAGGGGCCCCCGCTGCCGCCTCCACAGCCACCTTACCTCAGAGGACTCTGGCCATGCCAGCACCCCCAGCCGGCACAGCCCCCCCAGCCCCCGGCCCCACCCCGGCTGAGCCCCCCACCGCCCCCAGTGCTGCCCCTCCGGCCCCCAGCACCGAGCCTCCACGAGCCGGGGGTCCACACACCAAAATGGGGGGCTCCAGGGACTCGCTTCTCGAGATGAGCACGTCGGGGGTAGGGAGGTCTCAGAAGCAGGGGGCCGGGGCCTACTCCAAATCCTACACCCTGGTGTAGCGCTGGCAGGAAGAGCAGCCCACGCCTGGACCGTGCCGCGCCGCAGCCCCACACGCCAGCTCGGCTGTTTTTCTGCATTATTTATATTCAACTGACAGACAAAAACCAACCAACGACAAAACAAAAACCCCCAATCATGAACGCCTGTACATAGAACTCTTTTGTACAAATGAAACTATTTTCTTCTTCTCCATGAAGCCAGGGCACAAAGAATTTGACAGTACAAGTCAAATCCCCCACCCCACAAAATATGTGTGGAGATATATATACATATATAGACAGATAGGAACGCGTCCACAAGCTATATATCTATATATTTCTCTCACCCTATTTTGAGACAGAGGCACAAAGACTCAGCAATTTTTTTCCTTCCTCCTCACCCTCCCCCAATCTAGGTGGTTTTGACAAAGACCAAAATCCCAACTCAGAGACACTGCATGCGATTTTACTGTTCCAAGAAAACCAGGAGTTGCTTCAATTTGCAGATGCTTATGTGTTAATACCTTTTTCTATGAAAAAAGACCCAGCGCCGTGTGCAATAAAGGTTATGTTTCTATGTGGTGGCTTTTTTCCCATCTGGCGAGGGCCAGCGGGGAGGGAGGAGAGACCCCGATCCCAGGCCTTCTGTCTCTCATAAAGAGACTTTGTGAGAAGCCTGGGCTTTGGCTCAGTGCTTTAAGACTTTCAAAGGCTTGCAATTAGCCAAGGTGCCTCCTCTTCTGTTCTCAGAGCTGTGCTGGGCCTGCAAGGGGAACTAGGTCGGTGGCTTCGTGCAAACTCCTAAACCCCTCTGACCCACAGTGTCCTTACCTGTAAACAGAGGGAAGCTTGTAGCAGATGGAATGAGGCGACCTCGGGCTCACCAAGCACTGGGGAGCCTGGGAAGGGGCGGGGGGGGGTTGCCTACTGGCTTCTCTCCTCCAAGAGAGTGCAGGGTAGCCAGGGGGCCAGGACTGTGCAAGATCACTAGCCCACAGCTGTGGGAGAGGTGCCTATTGAGAGCCGGGAAGAAGAGATTATCTAAACCTGGGGCACCAGGCCAAGGCCTAAAGTTCTGGGCTGTTAGGACCAGATGAGATCAGAGGGAGGAGAGAAGTCGTCGGAGGTCTGAGGAGTGAGAGAAGCTCATGGAGGAGAGGGAATGGAGCTCAGCCAATGAGAACCAAGTCAGCACACCAGGTACCTCACCTGGCTTCCAAGGAGTCAGCCAAGTGGAAGAACAGGCGTCCACACGGAGGAGCAGGCAAGGTGCTGTGGGTGTGCAGAGGCCCGTTTCTGATGAGAGAGGGTCCAGAGGGCATCACAGGAGGTGGCAGGTGAGATGGAACTCCAGGGACTTGAAGGTTTGGAGAGGCAGAAGCAGGTGACTGGCCCCTGGGTGAAAAAGAAGTGCACCTAAGAAGTGCACGGGGGGGCTCCTGAGTCGAGCGCTGCAATTGAGGCTAAGCTGTGGATCAGGAACCTGGAAGGAAGGTGAGTCTGGGACCCGCTGCTCCCCAGCAGCTGAGAGGAGGAACTGGGAAGGGCTGGAGAGGGAGGGAGGAGTTTGTGCGTGCAGGCAGCTCATACCTATTAGCCTGGGCCCCGGTGAGGCCCCACCTGGGATGCATGACCTTTCGTAGAAGCATCTTCCGAATCCCACAAACACTGTCTGAGCACAAGTGTGTGTGGGATGCAGAGGAGTCCCTCGCATGAATAACTAGATTCCCGGGTCGGCACCGTGAGAGGGGAGGGGCAGAGATTCCGTACGCCTCGGTATTCCTAGGCTCATGAAGAAATGCTCATCTCAGGCCCCACACCCAGGACCCAGCCAGGAGAAGCAGCTAAAGGCATCAGTTGAAAATCAAAGCTCTGCATTCCAGACACCTGGTGACAGCCCAGCTTCGTTCCAGCCTCCCAAGGATGCGCACGCCATCTGCAGGTCGCCTCCAGAACTGCAAGCACAATGATCAAAACTGAGCGGTCTGCATAGAATGCCCCCCAACCCCACCTCCCCTGCACACCAGACGTTGGGCAAACAAACACGAATCAGAGCCAATTCCAACCAGCAAGAGGGAATGAAAAACTCCTCAGAGGCTAAAGGCGCAGAAGATGGAACCAGCCTAAGGGCTACCTTAGAAGGGGAACGCTGTCAGGAAAATACGGATCCCGATACTAGGTGCCAGGTGCTGCTTATAATCTCATTGCAGACGGGAGAAAGGTATCACGATTACCACTTGACAGGTGAGAAGGTTAGAGGAGCTAGAAGAGATGGGAATGAGATTTAAACTCATGAGCGTCCAATTCCTTAACTACTGAGCCATACTACCTGCTGCTCCACTGTTGAAAGATGGAGCTTCAGTTCTTCCTCGAGAATGTTGCCAGGGAAGGAGCCCGCCAGGTCCGGGGAGCAAGCTGGACATATGGGCAGAAAAACAGTTGATGTGACGCTATCAGTAAACAGTTCAGGCAGGTGACCCAATATGCAGCACAGGGTGGATTAAGGGCTCCGAAGTACTTCATCCTGGTGAAGGGCAGTGGTGGAAAAGGTGGAATTCAGCTCTGAGGAGCTGCTGGAAGCCTGGGACCTAAGGTGGACTCTGTAGGATGAGAAGGATTTGGAAAGGCAACAGAAAAGTAAGATGTGGGCCAGTTTAGCTTGTATTCCACTGGGCTAGGCCCCTTATTATAAAGCACAAAGTCTGGAAATTCAGACATACTTGAGCAAAATCCACACGATTCTATTTGCTAATAATCTCTAACTTCAATAAGTTTTGCAGGGTTTTTTGTTGTCATTGTTGTTTGTTTGGTTTTTTGTTTTTTTGAGACAGCATCTCACTCTGTCACCCAGGCTGGAGTGCAGTGGTGTGATCACGGCTCACTGCAGCCTCGACCTTTCTGGCTCAAGTGATCTTCCTGCCTCAGCCCCTGGAGTAGCAGGGACTACAGGCACATGCCACAATGCTCAGCTAATTTTTGCAATTTTTTTTTCTGTAGAGACAGGGTTTCACCATGTTGCACAGGCTGGTCTCGAACTCCTGGACTCAAGCAATCCTCCTGCCTCGGCCTCCCAAACTGCTGGGATTACAGGTGTGAGCCACTGGGCCTGGCCCTTGATATGTTTTTTCAGCTAAACCACAAGCCTGCCTGTTTGATCCACACCCAGAAGCTAATTCACAAATCAGTGGCACTCCTGCTCCTCATTCATCCCCAGCTCATCCTCATTGAAATCTATGTATCTGGAGCAGTCATCTTACACATTCACTTGCTCCTTTCCAGACCTCCACTTTGTCTACCATGGACAAGACGACCATCTGCCCTCGAGAGCCTTGATACTCCACGTGTGGTTCACAGGCCAGTGGCACCAGCATCACCATCACCTAGGAGCTTGTTACAAATACAAAATATCAGGCCTCACCCCAGAACCACTGAATCAGACTCTGCACTGCAGCACAATCCCCAGGGGACTCATATGCACATCAACGTTTGAGAAGCCCTCTTCTAGAAGACCTTCAGCGAGATGACCTCTTGTTCCTCCATTCTGCCAACCACCAGAGCTAGACTAGTGGCTCTCAAACTTAGGTGCACATCAGATTCACCTGAGGAGCTTGTTCAACAATACAGAACCCAGCTCTCCCCAGCCCTAACAGGATAGGAATTTGTTGGTATGCAGCCTAAGCATTTTTTTTTTTTTTTTTTGAGACAGGATCTTGCCTTGTAGCCCAAGCTGGAGTGCAGTGATGCTATCACGGCTCACTGCAGCCTCCACCTCCCCAACTCAGGTGATCCTCCCTCCTCAGCCTCTGAGTATCTGGGACTATAGGCACTTGCCACCATACCTGGCTAGTTTTTGTATTTTTAGTAGAGAGGGGGTTTCACCATGTTGCCCAGGCAAGTCTTGAACTCCTAAGCTCAAGCAATCGCCCACCTCGGCCTCCCAAAGTGCTAGGATTACAGGCATGAGCCACTGCACCTGACCAACATTTCTATTTTTATGGTGATGAAAGATATATAATATAAAATTCGCCATTTTAACCATTTTAAAATGTATAATTCAGCAGCACTAAATACGTTCACCTTGTTTTAAATCACCACTATCCATTTTCAGAACTTTCTCATCATTCCAAAAAGAAACTTTGTACCCATTAATCAATAACTCCCCAGTTTCCTCTCTCTCGGCACCTGGCAACCACCATTCTATTTTCTGTCTGTATGAATCTGTCTATTCTGGGATACGTGGAATCATACAATATGTGTCCTTTTGGTTCTGGCTTATTTCACTTAGCATCATGTCTTCGAGCTCCATCCATGTTGCAGCATGTGTCAGAATTTCATTCCTATTTGGGGATATTCCAGTATTTACCACATGTTGCTTCTCCATTCATCTCCTGGTGGACACGTGGGTTGCTTCTACCTCTCAGTTGTTGTGAATAATGCTGCTGTGAACACAGGTGTATAAGGATCTGTTTGAGCCCCTCTTTTCAATTCTTTTGGGAATATAGCCAGGCCTGGAACTGCTGAATCACACGCTCATTCTATATCTTACTTTTTGAGGAACCAACAAACTGTTTTCCACCAGGCATCTGTTTTTTTTTTTGTTTGTTTGTTTGTTTTTTTTGAGACCAAGTCTCAATCTGTAACCCAGGCTGGAGTACAGTGGCATGATCTCGGCTCACTGCAACCTCCACCTCCCAGGTTCAAGCAATTCTCCCGCCTCAGTCTCCCGAGTAGCTGGGATTACAGGCACGTGCCACCACGCCCAGCTAATTTTTGTAGTTTTAGTAGAGACGGGGTTTCACCATGTTGGCCAGGCTGGTCTTGAACTCCTGACCTTGTGGCATCTGTGTTTTTAACAAGCAAAATGATAATCAAGCATTTGTTCATTCACCAAATACCCCAAAGCACTTCCAATGATCTGGCACTGATCTGGACGCTAGAGATGCAAAAGCCCTGCGGGTCTCTTCCTGCACTCAAAGGCTCGCTCCCTGGAGTGTGCGCAAACTGGCGGAGGCGGAAGGAGGGAAGCCTGGATCAGGGAACAGCAGGGATGGGATGGTTAGCTGTCTGCCGAAGCCTCATCATCCCTCCACAGTGCACAGTTGTTGTGGGGAAGT